AAATAGCATATTGTGATAAAGTTAATTATTTTCTGTAATGTACTGATAAACATTAGACTTTCATATATATTAGATTCATTACACACAACTGAAGTAGTTCAAGCCTTTTATTGTTTCTAATATTAATGATTTTGGCGTACAGCTCATGAAAACCCAAAATTCCTATAAAAAATTTGCATATTTCATCCGACCAATAAAAGAAAAGTGTTTTTAATACAAAAAAAGTCAACCTTCAAATAATTATGTTCAGTTATGCACTCAATACTTGGTCGGGAATCCTTTTGCAGAAATGACTGCTTCAATGCGGCGTGGCATGGAGGCAATCAGCCTGTATGGAGGCCCAGGATGCTTCGATAGCTGCCTTAAGCTCATCCAGACTGTTGGGTCTTGCATCTTTCAACTTTCTCTTCACAATATCCCACAGATTCTCTATGGGGTTCAGGTCAGGAGAGTTGGCAGGCCAATTGAGCACAGTAATACCATGGTCAGTAAACCATTTACCAGTGGTTTTGGCACTGTGAGCAGGTGCCAGGTTGTGCTGAAAAATGATATCTTCATCTCCATGAAGCTTTTCAGCACATGGAACCATGAAGTGCTCCAAAATCTCCTAATAGCTAGCTGCATTGACCATGCCCTTGATAAAACACAGTGGACCAACACCAGCAGCTGACATGGCATCCCAGACCATCACTGACTGCAGGTACTTGACACTGGACTTCAGGAATTTTGGAATTTCCCTCTGCCCAGTCTTCCTCCAGACTCTGGCACCTTGATTTCCGAATGACATGCAAAATTTGCTTTCATCTGAAAAAAGTACTTTGGACCACTGAGCAACAGTCCAGTGCTGCTTCTTTGTAGCCCAGGTCAGGCGTTTCTGCCGCTGTTTCTGGTTCAAAAGTGGCTTGACCTGGGGAATGCGGCACCTGTAGCCCGTTTCCTGCACACGTCCGCACATGGTGGCTCTGGATGTTTCTACTCCAGACTCAGTCCACTGCTTCTGCAGGTCCCCCAAGGTCTGGAATCGGTCCTTCTCCACAATCTCCCTCAGGGTCCGGTCACCGCTTCTCGTTGTGCAGCGTTTTCTGCCACATTTTTTCCCTCCCACAGACTTCCCACTGAGGTGCCTTGATACAGCACTCTGGGAACAGCCTATTCATTCAGAATTTTTTTTCTGTGTCTTACCCTCTTGCTTGAGGGTGTCAATGATGGCCTTCTGGACAGCAGTCAGGTTGACAGTCTTACCCATGATTGCAGTTTTGAGTAATGAATCAGGCTGGGAGTTTTTAAAAGCCTCTGGAATCTTTTGCAGGTGTTTAGAGTTAATTAGTTGATTCAGATAATTAGGTTAATAGCTCGTTTAGAGAAACTTTTCATGATATGCAAATTTTTTTAGATAGGAATTTTGGGTTTTCATGAGCTGTGTGCCAAAATCATCAATATTAGAAACAATAAAAGGCTTGAACTACTTCAGTTGTGTGTAATGAATCTAATATATATGAAAGTCTAATGTTTAACAGCACATTATAGAAAATAATGAACTTTATCACAATATGCACATTTTTTTAGAAGGACCTGTATATTTTACTTTTATTAGACATTTATGTCTTGGTGTTTTACTATCTTTTAATCACTTTTGTAGTTATTTTACTATCCATATTAGCTCTTATTATTTTTTATGTTACTTATTTGTTTGTGCCAGAGTTTTCCTCGGTGGGGCCCTCTGCCTCGGGGGTGGTGGTCGACTGTGGTGGTCTGGGCGCACCTCGTGGAGTGCTTAGGTGGTGATGGGGGGTTTCGCCCTACCTCCCTGGGAGGTCTGGGCTGGTGCCTTTGCTGCTGCCGTCGATCGACTACTACCAAGGCAGATGGCTCACCTGATGGCGTGTCATTCGTTACCTAACCCATCTGAACTCTAGTGTTTACTTATGATATTTTATTTATTGATCTTTTTTTTTTAAGTTTTGTGTGTGTGCATGTGTGTCATGTTCTGTGTCCCTCTGGTCCCCAGCCCCCTCCTGTTCTCACTCCAGGTTCTCCTCTTGTGTCTCATTATCATCCCCAGCTTTCTCTAGGCTTCCCTCAGGTTTCCTTCTAGTCCCTCCCTGGTAATTCCTATTTTTATTAGTCCTTCTCATCCCTCTAGTTATTAGTTGTTTATATTTGCCCTTACTCTTTAGGTTTAGTTACTCCGTGTTTTATAGGTTAATGTTGATTTTCTCTCCTGCTTAGTTCTTTTCCCCCATTTAGTTTATTGAATGCACCTGCCTTCCCTCCAGAATGTCACTCCTCACCCCTGTCACCTGTTCCCCTGATTACCTCCCTCTGTGTTTAAAAACCCTGTCTTGTCCCTCAGTGTTTGTCGGTCCAATGTTGTCAGAGTGTTTTGTTTCCCCCGTGTAAACCTTAGACTCCTGCTCAGTTAAGTGACCTTCAGAATTTTTCGTTTGTTCCTGATACCTGGCTTAGCTTCCTGTCCGTTGTAATGTGAGGAAATATGGGTTTTCTGTGCAAAAGGTCATTTGACTCGGCTGGGTCAAAGAGCTGGGTCGCTGAGAACTTTAACCCACAGATTGAGACCTTTGCAGACATGAAGTCTGCAAGAGTCTGCTGGAAACCATAACATCTGCCACCTGCAGTACCAGAAGAAGGAGTTCTCATGGACAAGTAGTCATAACATAACAAGTCTTAAAAATTCCTTTTCTCTATTTTAATGTTAAAGAATAATCATTATCATTTTGCTCATTATAAATGTGTTTTAATCAAATGAATGATTCTTATGCTTTGGGTAATTATAATGGATTAATGAATCCATACTTAATTAGATAATGTTTGAGGATGTTTGTTACCGACCTTCACACACACACTCAAGCACACACACACTCAAACACACCCACACACAGATTCTCACAGTAAACTCCAAAACACATTTGCTGACGCACACGTTTGCTTTGAGAAGAGAAAGGCTTTTGGTAAGTTTCAGTCTTTTGATTCAGTTCGTGCTTGACAACGAAAGAGAGAGGACCTGAAGAAACCGAAGGGGGGACAGAGCCGGTTGGCTCGTTTCTCCCCCCCTCACGCGGTTCCTGCCAAGCCAGACAGGACAGCTGAATTGCAACTGCTAACGCAGACTCGTCCAGAGTCTTTGATTTCTGAGTGAATTAACTTAAGAAAGCGCATCAACAAAACGCTTTACCATCAACGTGTACCGAGGGCAACTCTGGACCGGTTTGTGGCGCATCTTTGTCTTCTTTGCCAGCCAAGGTGCCCTGGATGAAACATCATCCTAAGGTGACGTCCCGGGTCCAACAGGGGGTCCGATTTTCGGTGAGGCAGAACACGGCAGATAGCGTTTTGATGCATCTTTTCCAACTAAACCTAAGTTTATTCAAACCATCACTTTTCACTCAGACACCTGTTTCTTCCTGAAGCAAAATCAGATGCACACACGCATTCATCTCACCTCATGTTCAATTCTCACTACACTTTGCACACACGCATCCATATTCACATCATATCACTCTCAATCTTCATTCACCACAAGGTCTATTTGAGCAAGAACAGCATATCAACTGTTAAAGATTGTCCCACAAAGTTGCCAATGTTGACTGTTATTTCCTGTTTGTCAATTTCAAAATCATTAGTTTAATTTGAAGAATTAAAACTTTTAATTGTCAAACTTGTTTCTTCATTGAACTGAAACACAGACCCACGGATATGATCGACAGTTTATGGATGAAAACAACCTTTGAGTCTTCTTAAAACTATACAATTTGGTTATTAATTTAATAAAATTAATGTCACAAATTAACATGTAGAATGGTTCCTCTTTCATAAAAGAGCATAAACCACAACGCTACACCGTGATTTTTGTATTATTTCCCAAAATAAAGGATTCTACCTTTTTTCAATTACTCCTGCCTCATGTCGTCTGGAGCTCTGCATTTTGGGTCCTACTCCTGCTCCGAACCTGACAGTGTGTGTGTATGTGTGTGTTCCTTAGGATATGGGTTGTGGGATTTATCTTTTTTTTGGGGGGGGGGGGGTGCAACTGTCATAATTATTTTTTTATTTTTGGGGAAATGATGGGATTATGGGTTTTATGGGATGATTTTAACCTGTAAAGCACTTTGAACTGTATTTTTTGTATATGAAAAGTGCTATACAAATAGTTTGATAAATATTTTGTAGAGATGAAAAACAAAACAAAAACAAAAAAATGAAGTGGTTTTTTTCACCTTTGTCTAAAAACGTCAGTCAATAACAAGGCTTGGGCTGAAACCAACAATTTGACCATCTGGTTGTCTCACCGGACAACCGCACTTTCACATTTATTTCGTCACTCACTCGTTTGCAAATGTAGCTGGTGTGAGAGGTTCCCGCCCAATTTTATCAGAGATGAAGAAACAGCCAGCTGCTACCATTTCAACTTTAGGACAAACTACCAGAGTCCCAAAAAGAAAAACACCATTTGAAGTCATGGACAACAAAAGATATTTGCTCCTGGAAAACTGTGACTCGTGTTTAGCGCTCTCTTGTTTAATGTGGCAATGTGCATTCCCACTTCAGGCCTCTCAGGTCTAGGAATGATAGCCAATGGGAGGAGTGAGAGTTCGGTGACAGAGTTTGTGTTTAAAAGCTAGCTTGTTTTGTAGATTAACCATTGCAGTTTTAATAGTCTGTCTACATTCTAACCATAATCTATAGTCATAGGGATTGTAATCTGGGTAGGCTCAGAAATTCTTTTTGGTCTGGAAACACCTTAGGAAACCCCAGGATGAGCTGGAACCAAGAGCTGATGTATACGAAAACAAAATGGATGGGCAAGCAATCTGGTGTGACGGAGGGCAGAACTAGGACAGCTAAGGGGTTTCTTAGTGGCAGACATAGACTGCTTGTGTTTTTCTCTGATGGCCAATCGGTGTACAGAATAGAATTTAAAGCTAAACACTAAGACCAACCACGACTATGTGATCGTAACTGTGCTTGGCAGCGTGTCCTACCTTCTCTCCATAACCTCTGTCTTTTGTCATCATCTCCCGAAGCGTCTGCAGAACCTTGATGCACAATTTCTCCTCATTTTCTTCCACCAGCTGCTTGGTATGCTTGATCAGCCTGCACATATAAATCAGTCATCAAGTCTCATTTAGGAACCATAAATTAAGCTGCTAAACACACAATTATCTGCATATCTTACTTGCATATAAAACCTCCACTCTCACACTTCTTGCGTGAGTCTGTGTTTTCGGGGAAGAGCAACTCAGGTCGATGCAGCACGTCCACCAGGACCGACAGCTCTGCTTGGACCAGAGGAGACTGACGGTCCTCCAGAGCTGCCACGATGTCCTATGTCACAGGATAAAAACAGCAACTTCTTTCATACATGTTGAAATGAGCATGTATGAGTTACAACAAACTAGAGCTGAAACAACTAATCGATTTAATCGATTATTAAAATAGTTGACAACTTATTTAGTCATCGATTAGTTGTTTTATAATCGTCTTTTACCATAAGCGGTCTTTTATTTTTAACAATCTGTTACATCGGTTACAATCTGTTAAATTTGCAGCCAGTGTGTGGCAGTAATGAGCCACTAATCTACCAGTGGATGTTCGTGAATTTTAAAGACCCATTTTGATGCCAAGAATGCACTTATTTTCAAACGACTGCAAAAGTTATTTTAGGTTTGTGTGCAAAGACGCAACGGAGTAGGGAGCCTAAGTCAACGAAAAAATGAATGCAAGTCAATGGGGCCAAAACCGCAATTTTCTAATCTCGTTATGTGCCATAGATTTCACATATGATTTCCGTGAATTTTAAAGACGCATTTTGATACCAAGAACGTGCTTATTTTCGTACAGGGGGAAACGTTATTTTAGGTTTTGTGTGAAAATAAGTTCAGGACAACAAATGCGAATCATGAAAGTGACGTCATCGAACCAGACACGGAGAAAACTACGCTAGGGGTGGTGACGTCACATATGTGACGTGCCGATTTCTGGTGTGTAGTCATGCTAATTACAAACTTTTACAAGCTGATAAATCTGAAAGTATGTGACTGGCATGGTCGAAACACCCATCATTACTTTTCATTTAAATTGCAGTTCAACATATCCAGGGCGTAAGGCAAAGCGGATTAGAAAATTGCATTTTTAGCCCCGTTGACTTGCATTCATTTTTTCGTTCTTCCGAGGACCCATGAGCTGACCGGAAAGGGAGGAGACTTAGGCTCTCTATAGGTGCCTTAGTTTTTAATGACGTACCATGCACATGGCAGATGCACATGCTCACACTGAGTAAGATGGCGGAAAAGGTACAGGAGAAAAACAGAAACGATAAAACTGAAGAAAAACCCAAACAAAACATCACAAGTATGGGAGCACTTCACTCTAGGTGCAGCGAAAAGACGGGTGACCTGCAAGATATTCCAAAACGATCTTGCGTGGCATGGAAGCACGACTTCTCTAAATGAACATCTGAGACGAAAACATTTCGGAGTTGATGCAGCGGAAGAGCCAGCCTGGTAAATAACTTCCACCTGATAAGAAAATAAGCAGTGGTCCCTCACTAAAATGCAGATCACTTTTTGTGACTTAGCAGTTTCGCTGAGTTTGTTATAGTACATTTTTACACAGTATCTTTGTAGCGTACTAACGTTCGTTGTGCTCTACTGCTAACTGACTAGATGTTGCGTGCCAAATTTAGCACGTCTGTTTATAAGAATGTGCTCATCCAGAGAAAAACAGCACAAAGCCATAACTATGTTCCTCACTCGAAAAAGGACAACTACGTGGAAAAAGATGTCGATGAGCGGGGTGCGGATGAATAAAACGTGGAATAGTTGTATGCTTTAAAATCTACAAAAGTTTTAACTTTGAGAGTGTTTAAACGAGAAAGAAATAGGAGAAATGTTTATTTTGTGTAATTTTGTCTAAGAAACAAAGTGTGCTGCGAGGTGTTTCACAGCTTTAAAACATACAATTGTAAAAAATAATGACTTCTTTCCAGATTCTCTGCTGCGGATTACTTTGTAGATTATTAACAGAAACTGATTAATCGTAAAAATAATCGACAGATTAATCGATTATGAAAATAATCGATAGTTGCAGCTGTACCTGTAGCCTCTCGATGATGTTCCTGCAGTCCTTTGATGCAGTCACCACAGAATCCCTGCGGCTAGGGTTGCGAACAGACATTCTCCAACTCATGGCTGTTTTGTGCACAAGGCTATTGGATTTCACAAACAGGTTGTTCACCTGATTGTCCAGGTCCACTGGGATGGCTATCGATCTGCTTTTGGCTGCAGAAAGACGTGCACATTTCAGAAGGCATTAATGCTGAATTTAAAAAAAGAGCATGAAGTGGGTGCTTGGCAAATGCTTTGATCTTACCAACATTTGAAAGCACTTTGATGCAGTTCTCAACATAACCCTTCTGTACCGTCATCAACCAGCTGCAGTGATAGACCCTCAGCACCGCCTGCAGCAGCTGCACAAAGACTGGCTGCCTGGTCTGAGAAAACAAACAAGTTGGATTAGTATTTCGCTTCTAGTTAGTAGTTCTGAAAGTTATCCACCTGCCTTTAATTGTCCAAACAATCTGCAGTTTAGCACTTCAAAATAACACCTTATATGAGCTTAGAGGAATAGAACCTTCTATTAGATCACTGACAAATTCATAATTTACTACATTTGTGATTTTTCTTCCACCCAAAATCTCACTCAGCAAACACCTGCTGCATTGTTCTTACTCTGCAGGGGAAAATTAGTTTCTTGTTAGAACATATATTCAAACAAACACCTGAAATGTTTATTCTAGCAATGCATAATGAAGAAGAAATAAGAAGTTATAGATGTATAGAAAATAGTCAAGATGAAACAGATGCAAACATCCAAATATCTAATTTATTTGCTGTGAGACAAATGTTCACAAAAGGATCCCAAACAGGAATATTATACATGCTAGATATGGTAGAAATTATAATCCTAGCTACTTGCTAAAGAATCTCACATTTTTAGTATGATGAATCTGTTGTAAGTTCTCTTGGCTACAAAATGTCAGACACTAACTCGAAACAACAAAACTTTGAGACGAATATATCAAAATCAGAGGATTTTATGAAAATCGGTGCTATGACATCAATATTTTATGCATCCTTATGCATCAAATTACTCTTAAAACACATTATTGTAATAGGATGACCAAAGACATCTGGACTGAAGTTTTTAGACACCAACTAAAAGGTTCTTATTTCAAACAAGATGGTTGTTTTTATTGTCAACACTGATTTGGGTTTACTGGGCATAAACTCGCAAAATGAGATTTTCAGTTTAGATTTAAACTTTAGAGCTCTACTAAAGCATTACTAATTAATTTTCTCAGAGTCAACTGTAGATCTAATGATACTGAATTAGCACTCAAAAACAAAAGGAAACAAGCTAGGCTTTGAACGCAAACACGGTCACGGAGCACTCACCCCTAGGCCAGGTCTGCCGGAAACGGAAACCTGCAATGTCCCAGGAAACGAGATGGTGCTAAACACCAGTTGCCGTTTTCCAGGTCCAAACACCTTACGTTGTCCGTGACTTCAAATGGTGATTTTCTTTTTTGGACTCAGGTAGTTTGTTGTAAAGCTGAAGTGGTAGCAGCCGCTGTTTCTCCTTCTCTGATATTATTAAACGGCAAACCTCTCACACCAGTGGAGTTCTGTTGCTAAATACGTGAGTGTGTGATGAATGGAGGACCCAGGGAAGTGCAGAAGTGTGGCAGCTCGGTGAGACCGACAACTGTGTTATCGGCAGAGGTTTATAAACAAATGGAAAATAATTACTTTTTTCATTTGTTTTGTTTTATCTCCACATTATATTTACAGCTATGTTAGGATGTTGTTAACCCCCAGAGACCCAAATTTAGAAAACTGCAAAATCTTTTTTAACCTTACACATGTTGTTCTAGGAGGCCAGCTAAACGGGCCTATTTACACATTTTAACAGTCAATAGTGTTGCAGAACTGAACAATAGGACCTATTAGCAATGTAAATGTGGTTTTAAAAAGAAAAAAAAATGGGGAAGGTTTATTTTTGTAGACTTAAATCTGATGTTGTAATATTACAACCGTGGGTCTCTGGGGGTTAAGAGGCATAAAAAATGTTTTATGCTAATTTGTTTTCCAAAAGTTCTATTTTTGCTTTGACTTCTGACTTGTGCGGTTGAAGTTGGGAGCTGAGAAACGGAGGGGGTTAAATACTGAGCTGAGTGTGATGATCATCCCCCAATTAGAACGGATCAATAAATAAAATACTGCAAGCAACAAACACAAATGATACATCTGTTTTTTTGTTACCCAAAAGTTATGCATGCAAACACAAGGAAGTGACATTCTTCCTGTTGTTTTGGCTATAGCTGCTGATGTAACGCGGGTACCTGCAGGCTCGTGCTCTGATCAGAGAAAGGAGAGCTGAAGAAGGTGGTAATGATGCCCATAATCGTCGCCGTCACATAATTCTCCAGAATGGTGTCTGCGTGCTTCCGATCGCTTGTGTTGTTGCACACCTGAACACAACAGCAGGATCATGATAACTTTTCCCGTTTCTGCTGAGCTTCTTATTTCATTGGTAAAGTAAACTGGGCCTTTCTTACTCTGCACATGTCAACCAGGAAATTATCAAAGAGTTTCCACATGTGGTTGGAGGTGTAGATCTCTTTCATTTCGACCTCCGTGTCCACGTAGCAGTGGTTGAGAAAGTTGATGTAGGCGATCTTCACCTGAAAGATTGATAACCGTGGTTCTGGTTATCAAAACAAAGCAGGACTAGAATCAAACCCTCAGAACATCTACATTAGAGGCTCCTCTCACCTCAGGGATGCAGTCTTCATGGGTGACGATCCGCACAATGTCATCAAGCGGTAGAAGGGAGTTGCACTTTATCTCCGTGTAGACGTTCTTACCCTCGGTGCAGACGGCCAGCAGCTCCACCAGGTGAATGTGGTACTTCAGCGGACTGTTCTCATCCATTCGATCCCTCTCCGATCGCATCATCTGGACCAGAGTCTGGAAAGAAGCGCGGTCATTGTAGAAGACCAGAACATCTTCTCCTGCGTTTACCAGCTGCGTGAAGAAACAAAAGATGAGATGAGGAGCTGAAGAGAAGTCGCAGACATTACAGACACGTGGAAATGAGGCCCACCTCTGCCATAATGATGTCCTGACACTTTTTAATGAACTTGTTCTCTGCTTTGACAACAATCTGCAGGAACTTGAGGTACTGCACGTTGCGGCCGTGCGTTTCGATGCAGTGGACAAAGTGCTGGACCACACGCTCGTTGATCTCACAGCACAGCTGGTAGTTGTTTGTGAAGATGTGCTGCATGGTGATGGCTTCCAAGATCTGAACACAAATAGAGAAGGAGGCAAATTTGAGAGTCAAAGGTCAAGGGTTTCCGCTGGTTTTAAGCAATTTATGATCAGGAGAGACAACTGACCCCTGGGTTCAGGAAAAGGTTCACGTGTTTATGGAGGAGCGCTTGGTTCTGTAGGTTTCCTGCACAGAAGTTCTGCAGAAACTGATGAGCTAGCTTCATAATATCCTGCATGCGCAGATCTTCTCCCTGTGAAAACAAAATCATATGTGACCTAAAACTTTGTTCACTAAAACACATGCACACACAATCATCAGTGAATTTAAACCCAACACCTTTTCATAGGGGATCTGCAGCAGCTCAAGAACCACAGTGTGGGCTCCCATGTTCCTCAGCAGCCTCTGCTGCTGCTTCTTGTTCTTCCTGCCAGAGACACCTTCTTGGACACACAACTTGCTGAGACGCAGCAGGATCTATGATGTAAGAATGAGGAAAAAACAATTTACACATGTAAAGAAAAGCTTTTATTAAGAAAAACAGCCTATTACAGTTTTTTACAGACGCTAGGACACATTTCTCAATACTTAGGTCACTTTTGCAAAACAGTTCACACTGTCATCGTCTTCCTCCGCTTATCTGGGTCCGGGTCGCGGGGGCAGCATCCCAACTAGGGAGCTCCAGACCGTCCTCTCCCAGGCCACCTCCACCAGCTCCTCCGGCAGGACCCCAAGGCGTTCCCGGACCAGATTGGAGATGTAACCTCTCCAACGTGTCCTGGGTCGACCCGGGGGCCTCCTGCCGGCAGGACATGCCCGAAACACCTCCCCGGGGAGGCGTCCAGGAGGCATCCTGACCAGATGCCCAAACCACCTCAACTGACTCCTTTCAATGCGGAGGAGCAGTAGTTCTACTCCGAGTCCCTCCCGAATGTCCGAGCTCCTCACCCTATCTCTAAGGCTGAGCCCGGCCACCCTACGGAGGAAACTCATTTCGGCCTCTTGTATCCGCGATCTCGTTCTTTCGGTCATTACCCAAAGCTCATGACCATAGGTGAGGATTGGGACGTAGATCGACCGGTAAATCGAGAGCCTGGCTTTCTGGCTCAGCTCCCTCTTCCCCACGACAGATCGGTTCAGCGTCCGCATCACTGCAGACGCCGAACCAATCCGCCTGTCGATCTCCCGATCCCTCCTACCCTCACTCGTGAACAAGACCCCGAGATACTTAAACTCCTCCCCTTGAGGTAGGACCTCTCCCCCGACCCGGAGTTGGCAAGCCACCCTTTTCCGGTCGAGAACCATGGTCTCAGATTTGGAGGTGCTGATCCTCATCCCAGCCGCTTCACACTCGGCCGCGAACCTACCCAGCAAGAGCTCCTCCTTGAACCGTCACCTTATCGTGGTGGAGGAGTTTGAGTGCCCTAATGATCCTAGGAGCTACGTTGTCTGGGGCACTTTGTGCCCCTGGTAGGGTCTCCCATGACAAATTGGTCTTAGGTGAAGGGTGAGACAAAGAATGGTTCAGAGGATCTTTCATGGATGAACTATCAAAGAGTCGGAGTACCCGGCCCGGAGGGTTACCAAGGTCCCACCCTGGAGCCAGGCCTGGGGTTGGGGCCCGTGAGCGAGCGCCTGGTGGCTGGGCTTTCGCCCGTGGGGCCCGGCCGGGCCCAGCCCGAATCGGATACATGGGCTCATTCAACTGTGGACCCACCACCCGCAGGAGGAACATGAAGGGTCCGGTGCAATGTGGATCGGGTGGCAGTCCGATCCCCGGACAAGGAAACAGTTCACACAATTCTCCTAACCGACTTTCAGCTTGGCAAAGCCGTTTGTTTCACATTCAAAATGCACTCCAGCTACCAAAACATTTCATTCAGGTCTCAAATAAACACTTTCTTCTAGAACACTAGCAAAGTTTGACACCCGACAAACAGCAACCTAAAAACACCAACAACATAGCATCACAGTGTTTCTTGTGTAAAACAAGGACACGTCTCTGTTTCTAATTACAATTTATTGTTCATAACTGCAATATGTGTTATCGGAATGAATCAGACATGATGCAGAACTCGTCAATATTTTATGTTGTTTATTTATTTGTATACTTTTGCTAATTCCAAAACACAAGAATGTGTACATACATGTAAATAGCATCAACACAGTTACCTCCTTTAGGACTCTGTAGTTGTAACTGCTTGTGCTTTCTGCCTTCTTTGGTTTGTTCCCCGAGTCCTCCTGCAGAAGACAAAATAAAATCTTAGTGAACACAACCTTGAGGTAATGCAAGTATTATAATATAAACCCTGCTGAACCTTCTTATGGTCCGTATCAGCAGCGAGCATCTCCGCTGCGTCCATGCCCTCATCTGGGCCCTGCCTCTTATAAACCCAGAGCTCAGACTTCTCCACGATAGAACGCAGTTGGTCCAAGTCCGACTTTATCTGTTTGTAATTTTCCACATCGTGGCTGGTGACCAGCAGCTGCACCTGATGGACAGAAGGTGAAGATCATGAATAAAGATGACACCAAACTACGCAGATCTTACTAAACCATTACAGGAAGTATATGAATAGAGTGACTAGACTGTAGTTTCCACTGAGTTCAGCAGGGCTAACCTGCTTAAACGACTGAAGGACCTCCTGTCTCTGGCTGAAATGCCTGAACAGCAGCTGCAGAGCTCGGGACACCAGAGGAGGATAGTCGTGCATGGTTAAGTGGAGTAGGACCCTTAAAAAGGTCCGTCCTCCTTGATCGTCCAGGTCCAGCGGGGTGTTCTCTTCGCTGCACACAAACAAAACACACTCTCAAATAAGAGCAAATCCTTTTCAGACTCAATGTCCGAGATTCCTTCTGAATGTAAGCTTAAACAACCTTCCACCAAAGATCCCCTCTGCCTGCTCCTCTATGTGTTCGAAATCCAAAGCCCCTGCAGGTGTAAGAAGTTAATAAAAAACAGACGACACTATTCCTCCATTAGCATCCATCTCAGTGTTAATCTGACCAGGCATGTTATACGAGTTCTCTCCTGCTCCAGATAAAGGCATCTCATTCTGCGGGTTACTCTCATCAAACTCTCTCTTGAAGATGGAGAGCAGACAGGAGATCCGGTAGTCCAGGCGGACATTCAGGATAAACTACAGGGTGGAGAAGAAAAACAACAAATATTAAACATTTATTAGACACATTGGTTTAATATGAGTGGAACATTAAATGAGCTTCACCTGCAAGATCTCAATTATCTTAAGTTTGGTGTCCATGACCAGAATGTCCTCCTTCTCCGGTTCAACCTGTGTGTTCGCTGCGTCTCCGTCTGGACGTGGGATTGAAGGTGTGGGAAGAAAACCGCTCAGGACCACTTGGGACATCAGCTCTCCAACGCCATGAATGGACCTCATCACAGTACTGCCAGAAACTAAACACACACGCATACACTTCATTTATCAGATCCCTGCCCTCCACTCACACACTCAGGGCCCTTTCTTTACCTCCTCCCTCTCCCACGTTGGTGAAAGGGAAAATGGTGTTCACATGGACACAATCCAGAATATTCAGCAGGAACTTGGTGAGTCTGAGCAGATCAATAAAGTTGTAGAAGCCAAAATAGATCAGGTTCCTAGCCAGGTTCACCACCTAAAAGAAGGGAATGTTTAGCCTTTAGCTGCTCTGAGTATTTTTTGTTGTGTGAGATCGTTCCAGACTGACCTCAAAGGTGAGTTTGTTCTTTTCTTTGTTTGCAAAAGGGATGTTCTGACACACCACGTCTCTGAGGTAGGTTTCTACAAACTCCATAGTCTGAAAGAATCGCTCCTTAATTTCATCTTTAGACATCCCGTCGTTGTCATAGCTACAAAAAACAGAAGTAAACAAATAAACCACCCAAGAAGATGGACAAAAGATTTGCTTTACATCTTGAGCTGCTCTTGTACTCTTTAATGGCGATTTCAGAGGGGATCTCGGACCACAGCCGGGCGTATTTGACCGGTGTGACCTGCTCCTGAGGGTCTCGGTCCACGTGCATGTGGAGCATCAACCTGCAGAACGAGGCTCGCAGGTCGTAGGGCAGGTCCTCGTCAGACATGCATCTCAAAATCAGGTCGACATCCAGTTGGCCAGAGATCTTGTTGATTGCCAGATACTGACGGTCCAAACACATCCTGGCAAACAGGTTTAACTGGTACCTGGGGGGGGGGGGGGGGGGGGGGGTACAAATCAGTGACCCATTGAACAAATGGTCTTCCAACACATGAACTTGAGTCATTACCTGTAGTAACTGATCACTTCCTTGTCCTCCTTCTGGCCCTCCTTGGCATCCTGAGCCATCTCCCTGACGCTTTTACTGCGGATCTCCTTATTGCTGTCCTTCCAGAACAACCACACCTCCTCCTCATCCTCCTCAGACTCCACAGAGTTCTCTCCAGGCTGCACTCCCTCGATCTCAAACCTGGATAGCACCAGTCTACAAATGGGAGCGGTATTGAAGGGTTAGATATAGAAAATTATATGTTTGATTTTGCTGATCAGGACTTTATAGTATTAGCATCTTAATGAAATTAAAAAAATGGTATAATTAGACTATCGGGACTCACTTTGTTTCTATGAGGATGTCGGCGTTTGCTGGATCCAGAACTGCAGTACAGATGAGCTCTTGTGTCACAGGGATGGACTTATTCGTCGACACACACAAGTCTGACAGGTAGTCCAAGAATCTGGAGAAACAGGAGTTCTTCAGTCTAACTAGAACTTTTCCCAAGTCTCTGATGTTATCATTTCAGCAGATTATCATCAGATCTCCAGATGATGACGCTGGATCTGATTAAAAAACACGAACCTCGGCTCGCGGTTCTTGCGGACCAGGTTCACAAACGTGTCGATCTCTGCAGCTGTGATGTGTTTCTCCAGCAGCTTCCGGTTGTTGTGAAGGAGAGCCGTGATCGTGTCTTCGGCCAGAACATCATAGCCGATCTGTTTCTGCATGAAGCGAAACTGCTTGGCGATATACTCCTGGAAGACAGAAAAAGGACAACAGGACATAAACACACTCTTACAAATCTTTAAGATCCTTTAGTTTAACTGAACGTGTTATTCTGAACAATAATGACCTCATGCAGAAAACACAAACATTCACATATGGCAGGAAGCCGCTTTAAAATACTAATTTAAATAATTTAAATTAGTATTTGAAAGATGTAAAAGATCTGTTTTTTTCTCAGAGAAAAGGATTGTTGTGCAGTGCCAGTATACAAAGAAACACACTCATCAATCTGTCAACATCTGTTTGTTTTGATCTCTTAAATCATGCTTCTGCAGTAGTTCTTACGATGTCTGTTTATTTAGTAGTTTTCATTAAAAAAACAACCTGTAGAAATGACCAAGTTTATTTGACAACGTTTGGGAATGTTTTTTTTATTTCCTAAAGTAGAGTTTATGACATTTTAATGCCTGCTGTTGAAAGGGACTTTACGGAGTTTTGAATTTTTATGCTCGCGATTGCCCCCTCAGGCCAGAAGCGTAACAGCAGCTTCAATAGTAGGCTCGTGCACGAGGCGCGCATGCTGTACGTGCACACTCCTCAACAAAAATAACAGCTGAGACAGCCCCTTGTGTGTGTGTGTGTGTGGGGGGGGGGGGGGGGGGGGGGGGTGGACAGAGGGCAGGAGAACGCGCAGCTAATTAATTAAATAATTTGGTTCTGTACCTTTCTCTTCAGCACAGCCGACAAAGGTTTATGATGGGTCAGTCCTCCTGCATGCTCAGATCATTCCCTTCCCTTGCTTGAATAACTGTTCCAAAATGAAAGTTGAACCCACATCTTTTTTATCTGTGAATTCAATGCCGTTCGGCGAGTCTAAAATAAAAATTTGGGCATCTTACTGTAAAAAAAATATACCATTAATGTAAAAAAGAAACTCTAAATAAACTACGTTCACACCCAGAATCAAACCCGGGTCTTCTGCACGAACGTCCGACATCTTACTAGGCGAGCTAAAGCACCAATGACGTCCATTGTATCTGTAACGTTTATATCCTTGATGACAGCTGAAACAACGTTCAAAGAATGGTTCGGAGGGCTATGCCTGAGTGTGATCGCGCATGAAGCAGCCTGCTCGACCCGAGCAGCTCGCTTTTTCTGTGATTTTACAGAAAAACAGGCAATCACAGTAAAAATGCCAGGGCTCATTCTACAGGACCAGGGCATTGCAGGAGAATGTATGAAGAAGAAATTTATTATTTCTATACATGTTTTGGCTGTCAAACTTCCATAACGCCCCTTTGAAGAACTAAAGGTTTTGTTTTTGACTGTGTCTGCATGTGCATGTGTTCACTTCCACTGAAGTTCTACCTGGTTCTTGCGGTAATCCTGCTGAGAGTGACGTAAAACTCGGTAACACAGCCGGCAGATGTGTCTGAAGGGGGCGTGGCGCTGGTCAGCCAGCTCCTCCAGTCGCAGCATGGGTCCGTCTCCACAGTCTGTGAACGGGGCCTGCAGCAGCTTAAAGATCTAAAGAATAAATCTGATGGTAACGAGTGAAGATGCAGCACTTTGAGACGGTTACAAGGATCAGAGGTCAGGACGATTAAACTATGTGATCACAACATGCTCTATAGGTTATAAATTGTAAGTCGCTTTGGATAAAAGCATCTGCCAAATAAATAAACATAAACATAGTTGCTTTTCTTGGTTTAATACATCACCTGTTTGAGAATATTCTGTTCTCTCATGAGTTTCTGTCTCTCCCTGTTGGGTTTGTTCACCATGATCTCCAGAACATCTTGTCCATTGTTAGGAATGTCCACCACGAAGAACACCAAATCCTCTAGAAGTTTGGTAACGGCCCTGAAAACGCAGACACGCACAAAGAACCACAATAACAACCGTTCAGATCAGAGAAACATGTACAGCACTGCATTAAAGCGTGCTTTCACACCTCCTCTCATTCTGCGTGATGGTTCCTTTCTCCAGCTTTCCAGCGATGGACGCCAGAACTTTACTGGCATCGTTTGCAAAATCAAGGTCTCTGACTTCAGCTGGCGAGACGGGCACGATGGCAAACGCCTCTTTGTCTTCTTTGAGAGCAGATGTGCCGATCTGAAATCGGGAAGAATGTACAACTTTATATTTATAAAGGAGAGCAAGATATTCTGGAACATTTACAATTTATTTCTATAAAGTCCATAAAGAGGTCTGCTGACATTCTTGTTGTTTTAACAGAAAACGGGAGTTTGAACATTGTCCCAGAGCAGTTTCAGGTTTCTAATCACTAAGAAATGCTTCAATGAGTCACTAATAGAAAATCTGCTGTATAAACTTTAGCCTAGAAGCAGGAACTGTTGCTCACACGCAGCATGACGGGCTTCTCTTCCTCCTTATCTATTGGCTGGTTGGTGCTGTGCACCCACGTATTCGTGCACAAATGTCTGAGGCGAACATAGGAGTTTCTGAAAAGAAAGGAGGCGTTTTAGGGTTCATTTGAATGCTTTGGTTTACACTTGGATCACAAATACCAGAATTAAAAACAGACGTATTAAATAAAACATATTAATTATTACACAGGTACTCCATATTCTCTGTTTCACCGTGACTGTAATACAAGCATCAATTCATCCTCCGAATATAGCATCCTCTTGAGACTGAATTCAAAACTTATTCCAAGTTCAGAGACAGAAAAACAGATTTGCTGTAGAAAAAACAAGACTTGACTGTTTTTAGGAGAGACCTGAACATACAAAGAGCCAGGAAAGGGAATTTTAAGACATGAAAAACATTTATACTATTAGATCAAGCATTTTTTCTGATCAGTCTGTGCCTTTTCTACTGCTTATGCAATGTGGGGCTGTGGAGGTACCAGGTCCAGGAGGGGAACCCAGGCATCACCCTCTCCAGCTCCTCCTGGGAAATCCCAAAGCATTCCTGGGCCAGAGAGGAATAATGATCCCTAAAGTGAGTTCTGGGGCTCCTCCTAGAACAGGGATGAGGAACCCTGGTCCTTGAGGGCTGGTTTCCAGCATGTTTTAGTTGTTTTTCTGCTTCAACACACCTGATTCAGCAGTTGAATCACCTGTTTGGCAGCTCATGCAGAAGCCTGTTAATCGCCTGTTGAATCAAACCAAATGAGTTGGAACTAGGTAACAACTAAAACATGCTGGAAACCTGCCCTTGAGGGACCAGGATTCCCCACCTGTCCTAGAAAACACACCCCAGAACCTCCAGAGGGAGGAGACCAGGAGACACCTGGACCACCTCAGCTGGGTCTTTACGATGAGGAGGAGCAGTCGTTCGACTCGGAGCTCTCTCCAGATGTTTTCACTATCCTGTAGAACGTTTGTGATAAACACCGGTACAATGTTCTAAATACGGTCTTCCAAGATGGAATTAGTCTCCATTACTGGCAAATGAATGGCTGACCTTCCTAGTCACACTAACCCCGTCTCTCACCGGGACATTGGACTTCTGCTTTTCTTACCACAACTTCCTCTAGCCCGTCTAATGAAACTGTGTGTGTCTGTTTATTTTGCAGCACTTGTGAAAGAACACATCCTGTCCCACAAACAGGACTCACCTTACAATAATTATTTTGTTTTCAGCAGCGTAGAGCCACACATAAGCCACCAACATGGACCCAACCCTAAGATTCTGTAAAAAACCCTCACAAGAACCGGACTCATGTCAGGTTTCTCTAAGAATATTTTATAAACACATCACAACGGAATAATAAACAGTGGAAGTCCCCTTTTTGGTAATGAGTCTGCTGTTTGATATTCAAAGGAAAAAGTGACAGATCAGAACTCAGACCATTCATTTGTGTTTTTCCAAAACCAGTCATTTGTGTTTACCTCCCTACCTGGGCACAAGAGAGTCCCCGCCTCTTAAGGTGGTAGGGTCAAGTTCAAATATCGAAGAGATGTCGTTCCCATCAGGGACCGACACTAGTGTGTACATGACTTTATCTTGGGTGTTCTTCAAGCGGGCTCGCAAGGCTTCATGATCCGAGTCAAGCTGAAGAAAAAAACACAAATTAATCCTGATCAGAAACTTGTAGAACAACAAGATAGTCTGACAAGCTGATGGTTAGCATTTTAGAGGCAGAGATGTTTTTAAAATGGGGAAATAATCATTTAAGAAACTAAGATTTGACCTAACCTTGGTGTCATCTATTGTCATCAAAATCCGTTTTATGTTACATCCTTTTTGTTTCCTGTTTTTATTTATTTGAAGAAGCAGGAAAGCAAAATAAGGTTTTTGTACACAGAACAGCATGCTGGGGCAAATAATTAAAACACTGACAGACAAAATATGCCATCTAGTGGTAGAAAATATATCAACACAGTTATCAGCTAGTAAAAATTAGGGTTTTATACATTTTAAATGAATGAAACCATTAGAAAAGTTGCACAACATGATGTTTCTATGTACGTTTCAGCTGCACTGGAAACAGTTTGAAATCTTCTAATATAGAGAAAGCTGAAGAAGGGGTTGGCCTGCTCCAAAAGCTTTTAGCAGTATTATTTATCCAACAATAATAGCATTTGTCTGCCTAAATGGATGCCACATGGTAACTAAGCCTTAGATTTGAAGCCTTTGATCATGGGAGTTGTACAATGTTCCTTTCTTACGTTCCTGTAGCGACTAGCAGGTGTTTGTCAGTGAGTACGGAGTTCTGTTAATGCCAAAAGTAGAATTCTGATTGTTGTAGAACTTGTTTAGTTTGACTTCATAAAAATCATGTTATAAGAAACAAAATGCAAAAGACTGAAAGAAAAAAAAACACCAAGTGGTTTATATTTTAAGCCTGGAGACATTTAACTTCCAGTATTAAGGGCATTGCCCTGTATTTGCATTTCCTGATGTGTAATTTTCTGCTGAGCATTTCCTTTTTTTAGGTTTTTGCTATTAATATATTTTTTCATTCAAATGTTGTTTGGGATTACATAATAATTCTTATGGTTCATATGCCAATAAGAATAGCAGAAATCAACTAGCCCAAAAAGACACCACACCAGTCAGATTAAGGGTGCATTCGATTTTCCTCAGAAGTCGAAACTCGGAACAAGGAATGACGTCACACCCGAGTTAACAGCGTTCTGGTTGCCGGAGACGGAGAAGTCGGGATTCCAATAAGGCGACGGCCTCAAAAACGAACACAGACGACTCATAAACACACATAAAGCTCATCTTCAAAAAATATTCGAAGAGAGACAAAGACGATCTAAAACAACACTTAAATTGTTCAGCTTGGAGTTGCAGGCGCTACATATAACATTGATTTAGATGCACTCTTATAAGTGTGTCTTGTAAAATAAACACATTTCAAGCAAAACTACTGTTGTTGATACGGAGAACTGCCATTTTGGCTCTCGAAGTCGGGGTTGTGAAAATTTTCCGAGTTTCAGACTGGGAGATCTGACGTGGCGGGGTGTTTAATTTGATTTTTCCTACTCGGAGGTGGGGATTTCCGAGTACCGAGGACAAATTGAACGCACTAGAAGTTCTTGTTCCAGTAACAACGGACGGAGCAGTAGGGTGCTACATGTACGACAGCTGATATAAACCTACTTAGCTCAGATGCTTTGATGTACCTGCTCTGGGAATTTGGCTGAATTATTTGTTTCTCCAAACTCATTAAAAGACCTGCCTAGGAATGGTAAGATCATAACTGTTCATGGCCTTTCCATAGAAATCATAGAGATTTTGAAAGATCTGAACCATCCCTTTAAATTGCATCCATCGTAAGCCACCACAAGGGGGAGCTGCTGCCCTCCCATGCTATCATTCACACGGACACTAGAAGAAAAGTGAGTTTTTTTAGGATGGTTTTCTTACAGAACGACGAGGATCAAGGCACTCCTCTTCAAACTCTGGGTTCACCTGCAAAAAACAGAAAACAGGTGTTAACTTCTGAATGTTTACAAACAGTCCCACAAGCTGATGAACAGACTGACCTCTGCAGCCAGGTAGTGTCCAGTGGCCAGGTGTTTGAACCTGAACAAGCTGTTCCAGTACCCGGCACCACCTCTGCACGGATCGTGCTGAACGACCTGATTTCACCAAAACAGATTTACAGCCGTACTTTATGCTGCTTCTGGAGTTTTGACCTCAGCACAAATGGATCAAATCAGCAGGTTTAAAACCCCTCCTGCTCACCTCTATCTCCCACAATGCTTTGCTGCTGGTTGCTGAGGTGGCAGATTGCCGCCCGGTGGTGCGAAGAAACACATACTGTTTTTTTCGGTGATCGTCACACGTGAGGAACTTTTCCTGCTCTGCGTGAAATAACCGCACAACATCACCCTGGACAAAAGGACAAGGGTCCAAATTAGACAACTCATGTGGGCCCAAAAACAAAAATGATCTGGGTCTAAGAAACAACAGTCTAAGGTCTCTGGAGTGAGAGCTCTAGATCAGATATACAGTTAGCTGCATATTTTATTAAAGGAATATTAAGCTACAGTAGAAAGCTCCTGGTGCAGAGCGATTAAACAGCAGTTTCATTGTGAGGAGGATCTTTTGACGGGTAAAACTAAAATGGAAACAAACAACGCAAGCAGCCCACTCAGATCTGATGAGTGATCTTATGCAACAACTACAGTTGAAAAAGAAAAGCATGCTTTTCAGTTTAGAAGAAAATAAGAACATTTTATATGCCTCACCTTGGTGCTAAAAATGGTTCATCTATGCATTTATTTCCAAATGTATTTGACACATACTATAAAATATGCAGTAAATAAAAACAATCATGTGATTTGCATCAAGACATCATGATAAAAATGAAGGTTTTAAGCTAGTTATTGAGTAACTCACTCCTTTTAGGACAAACTCCTGGTTGTCGCTCCACTTCATGAACAAGACGATCTTCCAGCTGGTGTTGCAGTTGACAGAGTTCACCTGAAAAGCAGACGGAGTTGGACGTGACTGCGGGTTTAATTTAAAGACACACTGGCAGCAGTGCAACAAGGATCAAATATCCAAGACTAGAAACTTTTTAAATAACAGAAAAAATACATTAAATAGAATCAAATTACTGATATTTAATAAAAACAACAAATCTAAAAATAACTTCAAGCAAAGGCCACAAAAATGTGATTTCCTTTTTATCCTAACAGATGCTTCAAATTAAACAATCATAAAATCCCACTGAATTGAACATGGAGAAAAATGGACCATATTGTCTAATTTATTTCTTTATAAGATAAGTATCAGAAATTAATGCTGCACTAGGAGAGAAAAACCAAAGTGAACTTTAGCCATGGTGACTCAGTCTGTAGGACACCATCTAAGCCTGCGCTCAGGCAGCCACCAGCAGTCACAACAGTGAATAACTGGAAGTAACCAAACCTCATTGCATCCTGGGTTATCCACAAGCTGGTGTGAGCTGGCGTGGAGAGGCTGACCAGCGTTCACTGGATTCAGGACCACCTTGTCTCCGATCACCACCTGCAGGTTGACAGTAGAAGGAGCTTTTTTAAGAAGGTAGAAACCTCTCAAACGTGTTTCATTAAAATATTCTCAAATTGTGTTATGTACATAATGTGTATAATTAAATAAATAAAGCATTTGTTTACAGTCTGAGCATATGAGCATTTGTTTAGCTGCAGTCCCTGATGCAAGGGCGTCAGTTTGTTTTCAGAATTGCTGGCGACAATAACCATACACTTGAGTGGGGTTTAAAAATTGCTGGGGACAATAAAGTAGGCTAGCACAGGGGTCGGCACCCCGCGGCTCTGGAGCCGCATGCGGCTCTTCCATCCATCTGATGCGGCTCTCTGTGCTTGTAAAATAATGAATGGATGTTTAAATAAAATGCTTTATATTTTACTGCATTAATTTTACACCTGTATGCCAATTCTAAATGTAAAGATTGTCTGCGTAAACCTGAACAGTTCCGACCCAGTCTACTGTGAGACCGGGTTGACGCGTCACGCTTGTGCTCGCAGCGTTTTAAAAAGAAACGTATGACAAAAGGGGTACCTGCTCAGTAAAACCACCAACAGGGTGAAAAATATCAAAATATTGTAGGCAGAGACGGGCTACAACTTCTGGATCCACTTTATATAAATCATTTATTGATTATCGTCTTATGAAAGATAACTTTGACGTACACGAGCGACCAGGCACATTGCAAGCTTTTCAAAAGTGTGGGGGATGTTGTCTGTGCCTAAAATAAGTTCATGTTATTCATCTTGTTAGTTTAATTTCCGTAATAGCGGAGCAGGTGTGAATTTTAGACGCGTAACGCATGTCTCTGTTTTAAACATGTTTAAACTGTTCAGAATACAAATCCAGGCTCTGTCTCGTTAGATTGGTGTAACTAAAGTTTGTACTGAATGAAACTTTACATTAAACCATGTTGAAGAGAAAAGGATCCGATTAAATCATTCCCCCTCATTTACAGTCACGGAGTACAGCGCAGTGCGCGTGGCTCTGGGGTTAATCAGGTTTAGTTGTTTCTCTTTGCAACAATCTTCACAAGAAGGCAAAACAGTTAAATGGCAGGTTACAGATATTTACATTTGACTGTTTATTTTGACAGATAAACTCAAGGATGTTGGTTGTTTTGAAAGAATTACCCCGACGCACACTGATGCGCATGGATGAGCTGACATTTTAATACGCACATCGCAGAGGTAACTTGATTCCCATCAGAACATCAGTTGGACACTTTATACTGGACACTGTGTTCAGCCCACTGTCCACCGTGGACAGTGGGCTGAAGATCTGCAGAGGGGTTCGAAGCGCAGCGCAGAACCACACACGGTGCATGCGATAAGATTTCCTCCCACTCAAGCGGTCTGGAAACCCGGTCTCTCTGAGGGATGTGTCACTTGGAAAAATGTTCTTTTTATGAAATTATGAAACTCTGGCTGAACAGCGCTTGTTCCCGTCTCTAATATGGACACGCATGACGCATCCAGTCTGAGGCAGAATAGCCTCGTCACCTCAGCAAGCAACTGTAGAGACATTTGATCACGCACCAAGTTTATGTGGAGCAGAAGCGGTCGGGCCACGGCAGGTGAAACGTTCCTAGCCTACATGAAGTGAAACAGTTTAATTGTAACATTAATATGTTACTGGACACGCTGGTCTGGTTGGTTAGAACAGTGTTTGAAGTGGAAAACACACACACACACACACACACACACACACACACACACACACACACACACACACACACACACACGAATTAAAATAATGCTGAAAGCGTGGACTAGAAGCCAGGTGATAGTTTATGTATTTAAATGATGATCAGGTTGCAGTAAAATGTAATCTCCATCCACATCCAGACACAATTATCCTCTATTCTTTCTCTATTTGCTCTGCTCTTGTCTGGGCTGACGTAGCTGACGGTGCGCGCAATGCGCCTAGCGGCTGATGCACATTTTACGCATTTGGAGAGGTGGGCTGGAAGCTTTGCTTTTACTGGAAGTTGGTCCACTTAACGCACGGGTGTAGACTACATGTTAATGACAAATGAATGAAAATTAAATTGTGAGTTTTTACTTTATATTTTAGAAATAAAAATGACGGGGGAACATTTATGACGTCTTTTTAAACGAAAATTTCTAGCGCGACCTGCCTGCTTCACTTAAGTCACTGCTTATTAAGGTCCGTCCAAAATGACCGTGGCCCACCCAAAAATGAAAACCTGGCGCTGCGCCTGTTATAAACCTCTGTAAATTGTTGTTCTTCACTTTATCAAACTCAGACTTTGTACAGCTAATGTCAAGATGTAAAATTATGAATTCAGTCGAGCTCTTCCGTCCCTCTCTCTCCTGCTCTCCTTGAAACCCGACATCGGCTGTCAGAAGCGGGAGGTGAAGAAGGAGATGAGGCAAACAGAGTGAGTGCGACCTAAAGAAACCAGACTGGTGTGGAGGTTAGCAAACAGCTGGAAAAGTGTGGGTGTTGAATCCCCCCATGAGACCTGAGCTGGTAAAACAAAAATCCTCATCAGCAGGCTTTTTTGAAAGTGGGGGAGACACAGCTGCCCATCACAAATTTTGCCGGGGACATGTCCCCGGCGTCCCCGGTTAAAATGACGCCTATGCCCTGATGACTCAACGCAGTTTGGGAGCAGCTTTAATTTTTCCCCCAGTCAACAGCAGATGTTTAGATATCTCGCCTCGGATGGGATAACAGCAACACAACTCCTGTCCACTGACTCCTTAAAACTGCTAATTCATGTTGATGTTTTATCTCCACAAATGATTCAAGCCTGAAGGAGTTCTGCTGTGTGGTGGGGTTGCTAATGCTAACGGTTAGCTTCTACTAGCTGAGACGTTCTCTGCTGTTTCCTGGACGTTACAACAGCGTTCCCCATCACGCGTCTAGAACAGTGAGTGCACGAATGCTCAGTGACAGTGTGACATAGATCTGTCAGGCTTTTCAAATCCTAGACTTTCATCATCTGTTTTCTACCACAGCTAATGCAGAGACAGGTGTAGGAGATTATTTTCATGTTCAGCCTGCACGAAAAACTCAAGAGTGACTGATTATAATCAGAAATAATCATTAAAATACTTTTTTTCAGTGAAGTTGACCTTTAAGATTAGATGCCTCAAATGATTGTCATAATGCTGCCCCTATATTACTTTAAAGATCACAAATTAACATTAAACCAAAGAAATAAAACAAAACACATCTGATCCCGCCTTGCATCGGGGTTCAGCCGGAGACTCACATTGTCCCCAATAGAGCGAAGTTTGTAGAAGGGCTGTATGTAAAACCAGGAGCCTTCGTTTCCAGCAACGTCCAACATCACCCTCATGGCGTTCTTCTCCAACAGCGCAGGCAGTCGTTTGTTCACCGTCAGGTATTTGTTGCTCTTCAGGTGGAGGAGCTGTGTACAAACAACACAAACTGAGTTCATATTGAACAAACTGATCAGTAAATCTGAAATCTGGTACATTTGACGATGACTGGACAGAAAATTAGTGAAGGGAGATCCAAAAATCACAGTAAACCGTTGCAGGACCTTCAGAAGGAACTACTGATTAAAACTCCTTTTAAAGTCTAGAAGAAAACGATTCCTGTCAGAGCACATTGGTTTAAAATCAGCAGCTTCTCTGGCTCTTCATCTGACAGAAATTGTATAACTTAGAGCAGCAGCAGAAACAAACCTGGATGACGTTCCCATACTGTATAACAGTTCCCAGCAGCTTTTTGTTTTCAGAGTCGTTTTGCTTCTTCTCCAGATCAGCTGCATGCTGGGAAAACAAAAACAAACCAGTCTATCTCGCAATAACTGTAGGCAACCTAGTTGTAAACAAAATGCTGCTGAGCAGAAGTGACAGAATTATTAAATACAAATGTAGATTTCACCAGACGAGCTTTAGATGAGGGAAAATCCAGGGAGGTTTCAATCTTTCATTTTATTTTGATCAAACGGAAGAGAGAGGAGATCATTATTGAATCAGTATTAAGCATTTGAAAATGAAAATATGTATCAAGAGAATTTCCCAACTCTGCCCTCTCCCTGATCTCACTGGGCCTGGGGCAGCTGTTTCTCTGGAAGGGCTACTGCTCTAGAGCAGCTGTTGCTCTGGAGTGACTGCTGCTCTGAATGTGCTGCTGTTCTAGGACAGCTGTTGCTCTGGGGTGACTGCTGCTCTAGAGCAGCTGTTGCTCTGGAGTGACTGCTGCTCTGAATGTGCTGCTGTTCTAGGACAGCTGTTGCTCTGGGGTGACTGCTGCTCTAGAGCAGCTGTTGCTCTGGAGTGACTGCTGCTCTGAATGTGCTGCTGTTCTAGGACAGCTGTTGCTCTGGGGTGACTGCTGCTCTAGAGCAGCTGTTGCTCTGGAGTGACTGCTGCTCTGAATGTGCTGCTGTTCTAGGACAGCTGTTGCTCTGGGGTGACTGCTGCTCTAGAGCAGCTGTTGCTCTGGAGTGACTGCTGCTCTGAATGTGCTGCTGTTCTAGGACAGCTGTTGCTCTGGGGTGACTGCTGCTCTAGAGCAGCTGTTGCTCTGGAGTGACTGCTGCTCTGAATGTGCTGCTGTTCTAGGACAGCTGTTGCTCTGGGGTGACTGCTGCTCTAGAGCAGCTGTTGCTCTGGAGTGACTGCTGCTCTGAATGTGCTGCTGTTCTAGGACAGCTGTTGCTCTGGGGTGACTGCTGCTCTAGAGCAGCTGTTGCTCTGGAGTGACTGCTGCTCTGAATGTGCTGCTGTTCTAGGACAGCTGTTGCTCTGGGGTGACTGCTGCTCTAGAGCAGCTGTTGCTCTGGAGTGACTGCTGCTCTGAATGTGCTGCTGTTCTAGGACAGCTGTTGCTCTGGGGTGACTGCTGCTCTAGAGCAGCTGTTGCTCTGGAGTGACTGCTGCTCTGAATGTGCTGCTGTTCTAGGACAGCTGTTGCTCTGGGGTGACTGCTGCTCTAGAGCAGCTGTTGCTCTGGAGTGACTGCTGCTCTGAATGTGCTGCTGTTCTAGGACAGCTGTTGCTCTGGGGTGACTGCTGCTCTAGAGCAGCTGTTGCTCTGGAGTGACTGCTGCTCTGAATGTGCTGCTGTTCTAGGACAGCTGTTGCTCTGGGGTGACTGCTGCTCTAGAGCAGCTGTTGCTCTGGAGTGACTGCTGCTCTGAATGTGCTGCTGTTCTAGGACAGCTGTTGCTCTGGGGTGACTGCTGCTCTAGAGCAGCTGTTGCTCTGGAGTGACTGCTGCTCTGAATGTGCTGCTGTTCTAGGACAGCTGTTGCTCTGGGGTGACTGCTGCTCTAGAGCAGCTGTTGCTCTGGAGTGACTGCTGCTCTGAATGTGCTGCTGTTCTAGGACAGCTGTTGCTCTGGGGTGACTGCTGCTCTAGAGCAGCTGTTGCTCTGGAGTGACTGCTGCTCTGAATGTGCTGCTGTTCTAGGACAGCTGTTGCTCTGGGGTGACTGCTGCTCTAGAGCAGCTGTTGCTCTGGAGTGACTGCTGCTCTGAATGTGCTGCTGTTCTAGGACAGCTGTTGCTCTGGGGTGAATGCTGCTCTAGAGCAGCTGTTGCTCTGGAATGGCTACTGCTCTTGAGGGGCTGCTGCTTTGAAGGGTCCGCTGCTCTAGAGCAGCTGTTGCTTTGGGTTGATTGCCGATGCTCTGAAGGAGCTGCTGCTCTAGAGCAGTAAATGAATTTAATGTGTGTAGCCCTTATCTCAGACATAGAATCACAAAGCGCTTCACATAGATCAAAACAAAAAAAAATACAGTCATAAAATCATAATGATCTCAAAACAGAAATAGATTAACATCAGAAAAAATAAAGTCATGCAATTATAAAATTTCATAAACTGATGAAAGATTACAAATTGGAGTTAAAAATAAGAAAATAAAAGATTAAGGTAAAAGTAGATTTAAATAAAAGGGTCTTTTGCTGTTTTTAAAAGTGTCCTAGAGCAGCTGTTGCTCTAGGGTGACTGCTGCTCTAAAGGGGTTGCCGCTCTAGAGTAGCTGTTGCATTGGGTTGATTGCTGATGCTCTGGAGGGGCTGCTGCTCTGAAGGTGCTTCTGCTCTAGAGCAGCTATTGCTCTGTGGTTACTGCCACTGCTCTGAAGGGTTGCTGCTGCTCTAGAGTAGCTGTAGCTTTAGAGCAGGGGTAGGCAACCCTGGTCATTGAGAGTCACAGTCCTGCATGTTGATGCCCTGAAGTAGCTGCTGCTTTAGAGAAGCTGTAGCTCTGGGGTGACTACTGCTGCTCTGGAGCAGCTGCTATGAGGTGAACTTACATGGAGTTTGTTGAGGAGAACTGTATCTGTGTTTCCTCCAGGCTTCGCTGCTTTCCAGAACTGCTTCTGGGCTGAGTAGCGGTTCATGGGGCAAAGTTTAAACAGACAGTCTGCACAGACAGAGGCAGAAATTGCCAAGGGAAAGGTTAACATCAAATACATCACAGTAATGGAATAAAAAAACATAAATGAATCAACACGGAAGGTTTCAACTACAGGAACCCAAAGCAACAATTTTAAAAGTCTCAGCTGCTAAAACAACACAAACTTTACTGTTGACATTACTTTTATTTATTTATTTCTGCAGGCTGACCCGGCACTTCAAACGCATTAATAATTCTCCTGAATGGAGATCAAAGGGCTTTTCTCAGCTCTCAGGAGGGACCGGGAGTTTGTGCGTTTGGGTGCAACACAAGCATGGTAAACTGTGGTTTCATCCTGTGGTGAGATTAAGTTACACCACAACAATATATACTCTGCTCCAAATAATACAAGGAATACAAAAAAGACATCCTAGATCTGAATGAATTAAATATTCTTATTAAATACTTTGTCCTTTACAAAGTTGAATGAGCTGACAATAAAATCACAAAAAAAAAGGTCTTTAGAAATCAAACAAGTCAAAATGAGGCTCAGTAGTGTAGTGTGTGTGGCCTCCACATGTATGTATGACATCCCTATATTATATGGGAATGCTCTTGATGAGGTGTCATGAAGGGTCTCCTCCCAAAGTAATGCCACCCTGTTATGACCACTAGCCAGGCCTCTTATGGGCCATTCCCATCTGTACCGGGTCGGCCCGGGCCGGGTAGCGTAGGTTGTTTACATATCTGGGTGGCCTGGAATTTTCCCGGGCCAACCAAGGCTCATTCTCGGCCCTCTTCCCGAGGGGTACTGCTTCAGGCCGACCAGGGCCAACACGCCCACTGCTGACAGTAAATTCACACCTTCCATTAGAGCAAGCCTCTGATTGGTGGGTAGAATCAGCCCATTCACACCTTCCATTAGAGCAAGCCTCTGATTGGTGGGTAGAATCAGCCCACATGGGCTTAAGGCAAGGATGTGTGGAATCAACCGGGCCAGGCTGGGGCCGACTGGGGCTACCCGGCCCGGGCCGACCCGGTACAGGTGGGAATGGGGCTTTAAGATCCAGGAGCCAGGATCACCCAGCCCTGGTGATCAGCCCAGACTCCGCCCCTCTTCCTCCTCTCCTCCAGGCTGCTGATGAGCACAGCTGACCTGAGTCCCACAAATGAACAACACCTGGGATAAAAGGCTGTGCCATACAGCAGTTTAGAGGTTCTGCTGGTCTCCAGGCCTCATGTTACATTTTAAACCAGGGTTTTTGTGTGTGTTTTAGAAGTTTTATGTGATTTTTTTTTGTTTGTTTTAGTTTTAAGGTGGTGATCATAACACACCCCACACCAAACTGACCCACTGCCTGACCAGTCATGCTGGAGGATGTTGCAGGCAGCAGAACATTCTCTGTGGCATCACTAGACTGTCACATTTGCTCAGTGTGAACCTGCTTTAATTTGTGTATGAGCACAGGGCACCAGTGGTGAATATGCCAATCTTGGTGTTCTCTGGCAAATGCCAAACATCCTGTATGTTGCGGGGCTGTAAGCACAGCCCCACCTGTGGACGTCTGGCCCTCATACCACCCTCATGGTGTCTTGTTTCTGACCGTTTGAGCCGACACATGCACATTTGTGGCCTGCTGGAGGTCATGTTGCAGGGCTCTGGCAGTGCTCTTCCTGTTCCTCCTTGCACAAAGGTGGAGGTAGTGGTCCTGCTGCTGGGTTGTTGGCCTCCTCAGTGGCTCCTGAATTTCAGGCCTGTCTACGCTGACAGACACAGCAAACCTTCTTACCACAGCTCTCATTGATGTTTCATCCTGGATGAGCTGCACTGCCTGAGCCACTTGTGTGGGTTGTAGGCTCCAGCTCATGCTACCACTAAACCGAAACCACCACCAGCAATCAAAAGCGACTAAAACATCAGCCAGAAAGTGCAGGAACTTAGGTCTGTGGTCACCACTTGCAGAACCACCCCTTTATTAGGGATGTCTTGCTAATTGCCTTTAATTTCCACCTGTAGTCTGTTGCATTTGCACAACAGCAGGTGAAATTGATTGTCGATCAGTGTTGCTTCCTAAGTGGACAGTTTGATTTCACAGAAGTATGAATGACTTGGAGTTTCATTGTGTCGTTTAAGTGTTCCCTTTATCTTTTTGAGCAGCATATATACACACACCCCTCCCCCCTCTAAAAAACATCCATGTGTGATGAAAGGACTTGGTGATGACACCCAGAGTGTGTAACCACAGCAACACCAAGAAGCCACTGCTGGTGTCAATAGTGAGTAATTGTGTGTGTTGATTTTCATAGAGGATGCTGAAACATGCCGGCAGGGAAAGCAGGACTTTTATTTGCATGAGGACAGTTTTTAGCAAAGTTCCTCTTCTGTCCCAGGAGACTTCCTCTTTCACACAGCGTGCCTTAGTGAGGGCAGATTAACAACTTTCCCTGTAGAGTTCGGCTTCACGGCCGTCTCCTCCCTCCAGGTCCTGGCTTTCCTCGGATTTTATCTCTCATCACACTGCAGCTTTCTTTTTTTGAGATGGTAAAAAGAGGAAGAAAGGAACAATCTGTCCACCCACCCCCCCTTCTCTTCAAGCTGCAGCTACGTGACCAAATAAGGCCAGCCACGAGAAGGGGAGTTGGATGACCTAAAGAGAGACAGAAGAGGGAGAGAGGGGTGGGGACTCCCTATCTTCCTCTTCTTCAATATTCTATCATCCCTCCTTCTCTTGTCTGAATTCCTTTATTTTCACACACCATTTGTTCCCTCATGGCTAAATGATCCAGATCCTTTGCTTTCCTCTCTTTTCAGACAGGATTTTCCAAAGTTTAGGCACAAAAATTCCGTAAAAAAAAAAAGCCACAAAAAAAGGAAGTGAGAAAAAAGAGGAAGACGGAAATGGAGAGTAAAAGAATGCGAGAAACTATTTGATGTTAATCTTGTCAGTTTGTTTTAGATGTATGTGTTATATGTTCACACAACTGTCCCTCACTGTAAAAAAAACAACCTGTCAAGTTTACGGTAAAATACCGGCAGCTGTGGTTGCCAGAAATATACCGTGAAATAAATGTGTAATCTGTAAACGAAAATACGGCATACTGGTTTTGAAATCCTAAATTTTACAGTGGACAATGTTTTTTAACAAAATCATGGTAGGAAAAAAAAACTAATATTTGTAAATTATACAGTAATTTCACGTAAAAAAAAGCAACTTTACATAGCTTTTTAAAGATTTTTACAGTTAAAAAAGTTATATAAATATTTACATTGATTTGTTGTTAATTTAACAGTAATAGGTTACACCTTATTATGGCAAATAACTGTAAAAATAGAAATATGGTAAACCTTACTAAACCTTTGACAATAAAAAACACAGTGAAACTGTATAAGAAATTACAGCATTTTATTTTTTCTTAATACATTTTACGGTAAATTCCTGGCAACCACAGCTGCCGGTATTTTACCATACATTTGACAGTACAATGAGAAAATAAAAAATTTTACTTTACATTTAAAGAGCAAGTAACGTCTAAATTAACTTTTTTTTGCTGATGAACTGTATACATGAGTGTCTAATAGTGTTTTAAATGTGTGCATTCTTTATTTTAGCATTTTGGTGCATTTTCTTTAAAAATTAAAAATTCTGTCTAAAAACCACAGTAATGCGCCACCTTCAGCTGAAAACATAGAATTTGAGTCATTTTGAATAAATTTTAGCCAATGGCTAAAGAGTAAAGTACTACGTAAACCAGTAGAGTACTACGTAGCAGCTCCGTGCCAAAGTTATAAAAGCAACGAGCGTCTCGGCCACGCCCTGTGGCGAGTGGGAGTTGGATTTGCAAGCGAGTGTAGGAGGTCAGCGGTAGTTCAGCATTAGCATATAGCATTAGCATATCCTAGTCTTTAGCATATCTTTTAGTGTTATAAATACTTATTTAGTGTTAGCTTGGCTGTTGTATATTATAGTTTAGTTAGTGTTTGGCTGTTAGTGTAATTGGGAAAGTATTTCGGGTTTAGTGTTCCATATCGTCTTAGTATTGGTGAGTAGGTGTAGTGTAGTATGGTTGCGGTGACTCTGTGGGCATTTTACCCGCGATTCTGCACGTCTCCGTTTGAAGAGGGAGGCTGTGCCCACCGTGGCTCTTCCGCGATTTAGATGCAGCCCACCGACTCTGCTCCCCCACCACGGCGGGCTCCAGTCTGAGGTGAGTAAGCTAAGTAAACGTTTTAACATCTTCTAAAGACAATTCCCTACCTAAATGCAAAGTCTGAGAGACGTGGTTCACTTCCTTTAGCTAGTCAGTCGGCAATTCTGCAACAGTGACTCTAACTGACGCAGCACTTGTTGACAGCATTACAGCGTGAAATCCAGCTTGTGACCCGGTTCTGTGAGGAATTCTGTTCAGGAGGTCGCATTTCAGGCTCTCCACATCATATGTGACTGACTTTTACGTTATAACAACGATCACACACTAGGAATGTTATAAAGCGCCTATATAGGAGATTCTTTTGTATATTATCTGACTATAAACTCCAACAACAATGTGCTTCTATTTTTTTTTTCAGGCTAAATCTACCCAAGACACTGGCTGTCAGACTGATTTAGCTGCATGAATGTACTTGTCCAGGCTGATGTGAAACCTTCCCTGTAGCAAAGGTGAATTATTTTTAATAATCTTCTATGCAAACATTTTATTATCACCTTCTAGTTTTAATTTGTTTTACAGATTATTTTTACACGTGATTTTATGCTCTTTTAAACATTTATAAATGTGCTGCTTCTTTGTTTTTACATAGCCAGCCAGAATGGAGTTCACAGCCGCAGTGTGTCTGGTGACCCACGGGGACCATGATGAAAATTCATCTTCCAGAAGGTCCCAGAGCGTCCAGACCCCCTGAAAAGACCAAGGTGTGAGGTGTCTGCTGTTGATTCCAGCTTCCACCTCAGTGACAGTGCAAGCTCAGTGAACTGTTCAAGGTAAAAAAAAAATTAAAACATTTCAGAATTTTTAAGATATTAACAATTAAATAAGTATGTGATTACATCATGACGGAGGCTACTGATTCTGCCCGTGACACTTGGTGGTGACGTGTGAGCTGATTCTCCTGGAAAATAACTTTTACATTAAATATTTTGTTTTTGCTATCAAAAGTAAATTAACTAATAACCTGCATTATTGCAGGACATTCAGCAAAATATGGACTACACCATGAGGCATGCACACATTAATATTCTATAAGAGCACATAAGGTGAGCAACACCACATATTGTACACTGTCCTGAATTTGTTTTCTTTCTGCATCTCATTAGCCTGGCTGATCACCTGATAACTCCTGTCATCTGGTTGTGACAGCATGAGGATGTCCTCACACACCTGTAACCTATCAGCTCATCTGGCAGAATAGAGAGAGAAGAGACAATACCACATCTCCTGTTCCTGGAAAGCCTTCAGCCTTCCTTCGATGACTGAGAACCTCCATCAGCTCTGTCTCCTGTCTGCCTACAATTATTATAATAAATATTGTGTTTGACAAGTTTTTTGTGCTGCCAAATATCTCATTTAGATTCCAGTTTTGATATTTTAATGGATATTTATAAATTACATTGAATATCACATTTTTGTTGCATGTTTAACTAGCTATTGTGATTAATTAAACTAGCACCTCACTGTTAAAAGCTCGTTCTAATTTCAAGCATGTTTAAGTATTTATGGACATGAACAAAAACAGGAAATATATAAATTGAGATTTATTTAATTAATATAACAAATAAGGGGGAAAGAGTCATTGAAAGGCACATTCTTCTGGAAGTTCCTGATCCTGAGGACACCAGCAGAGGAGACCAGCTGCAGACACCAGAGACCAGCTGCAGACACCAGAGGACCTAGAACCGAGAGAGCAGCTGTTATTAGTAAATAAATAAAGAAATCAGGGCAGTTTTAGTGGGCTGAACACATTACAGAATAATTTTCTCATGGGGTATTTTCATAACTTTATATGCAGCAGACTGTACCTTGAGCCCAGGGCTACCGGAGAGCTATCCAGCATGTTTCAGTGGATTTTCCTGCTTTAACAGGTTAGATTAGCTGTTAAGCAGCTCAGCTATTTGTTGCTGATTAAAACCAGGTGTGCTGAAGCAGATAAACCTCTAAAACATGCTGAATACTAGCTTTTTGGGGCCGTGGAGACAAACCCTGCAGCTAATCCAATGCTATGGCTAACGGCTACTTACCTTTCAGAGGTGATTCTGTTGGGTCGGCTCTGGGAGTTTCAGGCAACTCACAAGCTCAAAACAATAAGACTCAGGTCCGCTTGTCTCCTCCAAATAGACTTGGTCCCTTTCTTCTCGAGTGTCTGTAAGGAGGGGGAGAAACGTCCTCCACTTCTATCAACTGCTCAGAGTGAAGGGAGCTAGCTTCGTCTAGTTAGCCATCGTCTTCGTCACTGCCGCGGCTCCGCCCTCTCGATCCTCCAGGCAACGCCTACTAATGTTGCATTTTTTTAAATTGATACGTGGGTGGAGAAGGACTCCGAGGCTCAATTGACCCGCTCTTTAACATTTGCAACCGTTAAATATAGAAAAATATAAAGATGCTCAAATAAGTTAGTGAAAATTACTGAGAACACCTTTTTCGAACATAAGGATGCCCATCGGTACACTTGGTACCAGGGCAGCCTAGGTCGCAGATCGATGATAGACTTTGTAGTCGTATCATCTGACCTGCGGCCGTATGTTTTGGACACCCGAGTGAAGAGAGGAGCGGAGCTGTCAACTGATCACCACCTGGTGGTAAGTTGGATCAGATGGCAGGGGAACATGTAGCGTAGACCTGGCAGACGCAAATGCATAGTGAGGGCCTGCTGGGAATGCCTGGCAGAAGAACCTGTCAAGACGGTCTTCAATTCCCACCTCCGGCAGAGCTTTGACCGCGTCCCGAGAGCAGTGGGGGACATTGATTCCGAGTGGGCCTTGTTCCACTCTGCGATTGTTGAGGCGGCTGTTGCTAGCTGTGGTCACAAGGTAGCCGGTGCCAGTCGTGGTAGCAACCACCATACCCGCTGGTGGACACCAGAGGTTCGGGGAGCTGTCAGGCTGAAGGAGAAGGCCTACAGGACGTGGCTGATCTGTGGGTCTCCGGAGGCAGCAGACGGGTACGGATAGCCAAGCAGGGTGCAGCAGTGGCAGTTGCCGAGGCAAAATCTTGGGCGTGGGAGAAGTTTGGTGAGGCCATGGAGAAAGACTATCGATTGGCTCCAAAGAGGTTCTGGCAAACTGTCCGGCGCCTCAGGAGAGGAAGGCAGCAACTCGCTCACACTGTTTACAGTGGGGATGGGGAGCTGCTGACGTCAACTGGGGCTATAGTCGGGCGGTGGAAGGAATACTTTGAGGAGCTCCTAAGTCCCACCTACGCGCATTCCGAGGAGGAACCAGAGCTGGGAGACCTGGGGATGGACTGTCCAATCTCGGGGGCAGAAGTTGCTGAGGTAGTCAAACAACTACACAGCGGCGGAGCCCCGGGGGCAGATGAGATTCGTCCTGGGTATCTCAAGGCTATGGATGTTGTAGGGTTGTCGTGGTTGACACGTCTCTGCAACATTGCGTGGTCATCGGGGGCAGTTCCTGTGGAGTGGCAGACCGGAGTGGTGGTCCCCATCTTTAAGAAGGGTGACCTGAGGGTGTGTTCCAGCTATAGGGGGATCACACTCCTCAGCCTCCCTGGAAAGGTCTACTCCAAGGTACTGGAGAGGAGGGTCCGAGCGATAGTTGAATCTCAGATTGAGGAGAAGTGCCTTGGGCTTCCTGACAGGGTTGCGGAAGGCGCTTTATAAATAAAGCTTTGATTGATTGATTGATTGATTGATTGATTGATTGATTGATTGAGCAATGTGGTTTTCGTCCTGGCCGTGGAACTGTGGACCAGCTCTATACCCTTGCAAGGGTGATGGAGAGGGCATGGGAGTTTGCCCAACCAATCCACATGTGTTTGGTGGATTTGGAGAAGGCTTATGACCGTGTACCCAGAGGCACCCTGTGGGGGACGCTCCAGGAGTATGGGGTGGTTCTGTTAAGGGCCATTCAGTCCCTTTACCAGAGGAGCGTGAGTTTGGTCCGCATAGCCGGTAGTAAGTCAGACCTGTTCCCGGTGAGGGTTGGACTCCGCCAGGGCTGCCCTTTGTCACCGGTTCTGTTCATTACCTTTATGGACAGAATTTCTAGGTGCAGCCGTGGTGTAGAGTGTGTCGAGTTTGGTGGCAGGAGAATCTCGTCTCTGCTTTTTGCAGATGTTGTGGTCCTCCTAGCTTCATCCAGCTCTGACCTTCAGCTCTTGCTGGGTAGGTTCGCGGCCGAATGTGAAGCAGCTGGGATGAGGATCAGCACCTCCAAATCTGAGACCATGGTTCTCGACCGGAAAAGGGTGGCTTGCCAACTCCGGGTCGGGAGAGAGGTCCTACCTCAAGTGGAGGAGTTTAAGTATCTCGGGGTCTTGCTCACGAGTGAGGGTAGGAGGGATCGGGAGATCGACAGGCGGATTGGTTCAGCATCTGCAGTGATGCGGACGCTGAGCCGATCTGTCGTGGTGAAGAGGGAGCTGAGCCAGACAGCCAGGCTCTCGATTTACCAGTCGATCTACATCCCAATCCTCACCTATGGTCATGAGGTTTGGGTAATAACCGAAAGAACGAGATCGCGGATACAAGAGGCCGAAATGAGTTTCCTCCGTAGGGTGGCCGGGCTCAGCCTTAGAGATAGGGTGAGGAGCTCGGACATTCGGGAGGGACTTGGAGTAGAACCGCTGCTCCTCCGGATCAAAAGGTGTCAGTTAAGGTGGTTTGGGCATCTGGTCAGGATGCCTCCTGGACGCCTCCCTGAGGAGGTGTTTCGGGCATGTCCTGCCGGCAGGAGGCCCCCGGGTCAACCCAGGACACATTGGAGAGGTTACATCTCCAATCTGGTCCGGAAACGCCTTGGGGTCCTGCCGGAGGAGCTGGTGGAGGTGGCCAGGGAAAGGACGGTCTGGAGCTCCCTAGTTGGGATGCTGCCCCAATGACCCGGATAAGCGGAGGAAGACGACAACGATGAAAATTACTGAAAAACAATGAGAAAAATTAGCATTTGAAAACAAAATAAACATATTTGTTCTATTCCTACCCACAGCATAGATCTTGCGAATACAACATGTGTTCATATATTATGGCTGGTAATCTGTGGAGGAATAAATAAACATGAAACACAAAATTACCAGCCCCTGACCGATCGACAGTAATGAGTCACTGGGTCCTGCCTTGGTGAAGGAAAGGACTCAGTGGAGTTTCTAATGGCATGGTGTCGAAGATACGAGCTCTGCAGGAAGACTTCAGTGTCGATCAGGAGTTCACTATGGTCTAGCAGGATCCCCTCTGCAGGAAAAAATGGACAAAGTTTCAAAAGTTTGATCAGTGCTTGAGCAAAATGCACAGAAATGGACATGCTCTCAAAAACAGATCAAAAGTTAAATTATTTCTGAAGTTTTAACAATACAGTTCTTCAACCTACTTACGTAAAAGTGATACATAGACAACGCAGCCAAATCACAATCATAATTTATTGGAAAACATTGTATTCAAGTCTCCTATTGATTTATCATAGAACTTGAAGTTAATGACTGAATCAGGGTATATGCAGGATTCTTGAAATTTATTTTTTTTACCTTTTCAAGACTCCGTTTTTTCTAGCAAATGAAGTGACCGTTAGGTATTAAAAATTACTAAGAAATTATTAAAAGGCAGACATATTTGCTTTCGAAACTAAACTTTTCCTCATAAATTTAAAAGTATTTGTTTGACATTTTCTGACCTTACAAGGTCAGAAAATCTTAAATTTAGGTAGCGAAAATGTCTGCCTTAAATTACAAAGAAATTCTTAGTTTTCTCTAGGAAATTTATTTCTTGAAAATACATTAAATTATTCTTGGAATTGAGTGTTTTAGCTTGCAATTTTGTCACATTCTGCAGGCTCCTGCCGTGTGAAACGACCTTTATTAGAGGCACAGTTTCCTCAATTTCCTCTCATCCCCCTTGTGGCCAGGCCCCTCCCAAGCCAGGGCCGGGGGCCCACTGTCCGTTGGTGAATCGTAAGCTGGACAATGTTCTAGCTGCAATACTGGTATTAGTGCGCAAAATGGATGTCATCTCGGAGAGAGTCACCGGACGGTATGGGGAAGTTTAAACCCCAAAATTGGCTTCACTGAAGGACTGGAAATGATCAGTTTAAAGACTGAAGGCAGAGAGGAAAATTATCTCAGCCTGACCCAAACAAATTCTTGTTATCTGAATCTTTCAGCCTGGCGAGGTCATCAGCCGGAGGAGTCAATGTGCTCTTCGCTTCTCCCAAGATCTCCCTCCCACCTGTGACTGTACAGTAGCTGAGCGCCCTAGATGCCCCCCCCCCCCCCCCCCCCCCCGAATCAGTTGCCTCCTTCATGATGTAATCTAGCTCCAAGCTCACAGCAGCAACACACGTGTAGCAATAAGCTATCAAACAAAGACATAGATAGATATAGACATAGACATAGACAATTTGTGTTAAAACACAAAGGTTGTAATGAAGATTACATGATGATTAAAAACAACTCACCTTTACTCCACCTGCAAGGCTTCATGTTAGTCTGGACCATTTGTAGCTGCAACAATCAGTCTGACAGCAGATTTCTTGGGTTCATTTAGCCTGAAAAAATAAAATTATATATAACATCAGTGTTGTGGGAGGTTGCTTCCAGAGATGATGAGAAACATGTGGAAAGCAGAGCAAGGATGGAGTTACAGGTTTTTCTGTTAGATCATGAGGCCCTGAGGTGAAATGGGATGTTAGTGTGAGTCTGGGAAGCTACTCCTCTCCAGTGGTGACCAGCCAGGCTGAGATGTAAGGAAAAAAACAGAATACAGAGTACAATATTATTATTTAGAATGTTTTTACCTGGATCAGTTCATGGATCTTGTCCTGTCATCCAGATGGAAGCTGCTCAGAAGCTCTCCACCAAACCTGGGTCTGTTCAGGAGTGTAGAAGCTGCTCTGGGTGGAATTCCCACCATGGTCCCAGTGTCAGACACACAGCTGCTGGGAGGCTATGTGAAATGTAAAGAAACAGCAAATATATTTATAGTTGTTTTTAAGAGCAGCAACACACGTGTAACAATAAGCTAAAATAATGACATAATGTTAAAACTAGAAGGTAAAGAGAGACCGATGGTTAAAAATAACTCACCTGCAAGGCTCTAGCCTGGACCGGTGCAGGCTGGTGGAGGACTACATCAGTCTGACAGTAGATTTATTGGGCAGACTTAGCCTGAAAATAATAATAACATCACGCTGTTGTGGGAGTTTAGTAACTTAGATCGTGTACAAAACAAACTGTCTAATATATGTTCTTTATAACATGGCTGGTGAGTGATCAGACTGCTCTCAGAGCTAATTCAGGGTCCAGAATCAGACATGCTCTAATGAGAACTGGACTCAGCACCAGTTCAGAACCGGGTCAGGTCTGCTTCAGGAGGAGCTACTCTTGAGTGTCCCTCCTGCTCTGCATCAGCTCTGATAATTACTAACCCCTTCTTCCCACCGGAGCCGTCAGCAGCACGTTACTGCAGCAGCACGTCATAGCTGCTGATAGGAACCGCTGTGGTCAACAGAACCTTTTTCACCGGAGACGTCAGCAGCCGTCAGCAGCACGAGTCGGCCGCGTCTCAGGAGCAGCATGTCGCGGCTCTTACGCGCCGGTTCTATTTTCTACGCACGATGCCTCTGAAACGGGTCACGTTCGACATTTTTGAGTAAGGTCTAGCTGCAGACGCAGCCCCGACAAAGCACGCCCCCGACCAAACACGCCCCCATGTGCCTGTTGAGCTCCCCCGAGCTCCCCTGGTGGTCAGAAAAGGGAAATATCTCAATAACGGCAGCCCTCCCAGTCTGCAGCTAGGAATTATTGACAAAAGACGCCTGCATGTTCGAAGACAAGAGAAGTTGCATGCGTGTTGCAACACCAGATGGAAATGACAGTTCAGGTAAAGACAGATTTATATTTTTACACCTTGCGAAGATTTCTAGGGATGGGTACCTTTGACATTTGAATCGATTCGGTACTAATTCCCGGTACCTAGGAATCGATACCGGTACTTAACGGTACCAATTTTCAATACTTTTGAGTGTTTATTATTTTAATTCTCTTTTATAATTAAATATATATTTTTCTCAATATATAACGCACCAAAAGCGAAACAGAAGCTAACATATCAAGCTAACGTTATCTTAAACATTTTATTTACCTACCGGAGCAGAATAAGATGAGGATGTCTCACTTAGATCGTTGTCGCTGGTTTCATCATCACCCAGTTACCCATCACATTTAGTGAAGTGGACCCAAGATTTAGCGTGCGTTCTTTCTACCATGCTGCTCTGTTTACAACTCGCTCGCAGCGAGCGACGACTTAACGCTCTTGCGCATGCGCAGCTGTCTTGGCAAGTTCTCGTTATGAAGGACGGGTACCGAAACAAGGCACCGTTTGAAATTACGTGAATCGGTGCTCGGTCGGTACTATGGAATTCGGTCGGTACCTTAAAAAGTACCGAATTCGGTACCCATCCCTAGTTGTGCCTATTGTCCGGCAACTGATTATTTGTTGGTGGTATCTTGTGTTTTATAATCCCAATGGGGATGGCCAAAAAGTGTGTATGCAAGAAGAAAAAAATCCATGCATTCATATTTCAATCTGGAGTCCTGTCTGTTTAATTACATTGTTACTATTTCTGTATAAACGTATACTTTCAATTGTATTGTTCGCATTGAAAGGCGTTTGATATGAAAAAAATCCCAATCTCCTCTGCTGGAGCCTGAGGCGGGGTGCTGCACCCTGGATCTGACCCAGGTTTCAGCTCCCCTGCCCCGCTGGGAGGGTTGGAAACACCGCCATCACCTGCTGGAGCCTGTGGCGGGCTGCTGCGGACCGGATCCGACCCAGGAATGAGCTCCCCTGCCCTGCTGGGAATTAAAAACACAGCCCGATCACCTGCTGGAGCTGACAGCGGGATGCTGCACCCTGGATCCGACCCAGGTTTAAGCTCTCCCCGCCCGCTGGGAGGGCTGCCGTTATTGAGATATTTCCCTTTTCTGACCACCAGGGGAGCTCGGGGGAGCTCAACAGGCACATGGGGGTGTGTTTGGTCGGGGGGGTGTTTTGTCGGGGGTGTGGTTTGTCGGGGCTGCGTCTGCAGCTAGGTATTATTGACATTTTTGGGGAAGGAAAGACAGGAAATCGGACGCGGAAACGGAGCGAAGCTCCAGAGATTTTCAGAATGAAGAAACGTACTGCCTAACTGTGCGGCCCCATGAGAAGTTATCACCTAGCTAGCGGTCTCCTTTGTATTTCAGGTCCGTATTGGCGATTATAAAACGGACAGAACATAAAACACAAACCTTTTGGAGCCATGTTGTAATTTTCTCCTGCTTGTTGTTGTGTTTACTGACGAAGTCCCTCGTGTGACTTCGTGCTCTGTCGGTGACAGCTGCTCCCCTGCTGCTTCGCGTCTCGTGGGAAGGGCCAAGCAGCAGCTTACGCGAGCAAGACGTGCTGCTGCAGTAACGTGCTGCTGACGGCTCCAGTGGAAAGAAGGGGTAACTGGCACAAAAACTTAACACGAACCAGTCTGTGACATTATAACACACACAACACTCGCTTCGAGCCTGCAGCAGTGTGGACTGATTGTCTAAATTACGTGAACCACGTCCCTCTTACTTTGCATTTATAAATATAGCAAATATAGCTGCAAAATTACAGGTAGGGAATGATCTTTAGAAGCTGTTAAAAGTAATTATTTAGCTTACTCACCTCAAATTGGGTCCAAAATCTCCGTTTTCAGGAAGCAGCAGTCGGCGGGAACCGGTGTTCTGACAAAACGTCCTACTTTGGCAAAACGTACCCGTAGGATAATTTTATGGTGTTTTACATGACACAAACACTAACCCTAAATAGGGATGGGTACCTTTGACATTTGAATCGATTCGGTACTAATTCCCGGTACCTAGGAATCGATACCGGTACTTAACGGTACCAATTTTCGATACTTTTGAGTGTTTATTATTTTAATTCTCTTTTATAATTAAATATATATTTTTCTCAATATATAACAATATTTGATAAATATCACGATAAATAACATTCAACTGTTTGTATTTTAACATCGTCCTTGTAGTTTTATAAGCTGATAATTAAACTGAAGCAAACATCTTTACTGTGAACTAAATTTACTGTGTATCTTCATTCCTTTTGTCGTCTTTTTTCATTTGATTTTTCCTACTGGGAAGCTAGAATTTCCGAGGAGAAAGCGAACGCACCATTAGCTGATAACGGTGGCAATGGAAGCTAACATATCAAGCTAACGTTATCTTAAACAGTTTATTTAACTGCTGGAGCAGATTAAAACGATGATGCCTCACACTTAGATCGTTGTCACTGGTTTCATCTTCACCCAATCACCAGTCGCCTTTAGTAAAGTGAAGCCAAACTTTAGCGCGCGTTCATGTTCTTCTAGTTGGAAATTCGGAGTTCCGAGGAGAAAGCAAACGCACCATTAGCGAAACTGAAGCTAACATATCAAGCTAACGTTATCTTAAACATTTTATTTACCTACCGGAACAGATTAAGATGAGGATGTCTCACTTAGATCGTTGTTGCTGGTTTCATCATCACCCAGTTACCCATCACATTTAGTGAAGTGGACCCAAGATTTAGCGTGCGTTCTTTCTACCATGCTGCTCTGTTTACAACTCGCTCGCAGCGAGCAACGACATAACGCTCTTGCGCATGCGCAGCTGTCTTGGCAAGTTCTCGTTATGAAGGACGGGTACCGAAACAAGGCACCGTTTGAAATTACGTGAATCGGTGCTCGGTCGGTACTATGGAATTCGATCGGTACCTTAAAAAGTACCGAATTCGGTACCCATCCCTAACCCAAAAAATCAAGTATCAACATCAATAAAAAGTACTAATACTTACTACTTACCTATTTTCCTGCACATATGACAACGGAGTAGCATTCCCTTTTTGTGTTGTGCGCATGCGCGCACATGCTCAGGAACAACGGGTAGGACGGTTTACGGGGTAGGAGAAATTCCCAGAACACCGGCTAATTACTGGAACGGCTTGGACTAATTTGTGAAATGCTCTTCAAACCAGCATAACCCAGTTCAAACTCCATCCCAGTTCAAACTCCATCAAGTTGGTGAAAGAGTAACATGTAAAAAACACTTAACTACAATATTAACAGCCAAGCTACTAGAACTAAATAACTATAATACTAGAAGTTTTGCTGGGATTCTGACACAATGCAAATGCTAACTACAGCACAACTCACTTCCGAGCCTGACTGCTAAAAGACTGGTTGAGACGGGTTGAGACCGCAGTACACATGTCTACAACACTATTAGACGCTCATTTGTACTAGTTATCAGCTAAAAAAAGGTTGATTTTGATGTGACTTAATCTTTAAGGCGGACCCAGGTGGTCTGATAAAATGGCGTGAAACATAACATAAAGTTGATTTAAAATAATAATTGAAAAAGATAACTGAAATGAATTTTTTACAACCATGAACTTTATTAAAAAAAAATTTTGCTGTTGATTTTTTTTAACAGAAGGTTGACAGTAATATACTGCAGGCCTAACTTTTTAGGCCTATAGGCCTACTGATGCACAGATTTTTATAATTAAAAATAGCCGACTATCAATTGTATTGTCTTTTACTGATGATAATAGCTTTTTAATGGTATTTACTTGTATTATTACGGTGGACCCTATTTTTAACATCTTGCTTCAGTAAAAATTAATGTTTTTGTTTGCTTAAAAATTTACAGATTTATACTGTGAATTCCAATGTGCACAACCCCAAAAGATGTAGTTTTACTTGAATGATACCGTAAAATGAAAGGTTTTCAGACATTTTCAACGTTACAAAATTTTATTGTAAAATGTATGTATATTTTTTTATTTTCAGAGAAAATAATTATAATTTCAACATTTTATTACAGTGAAAAACACAGTTTTATCCAGTCTCACAATTAACGGTTATTGAATCAATGTAATACGGTAAAATGAAGTTTTGGTTGTACGCTCCATTACCGTTGGAATTTGACGGTGTTTTACTGTATATTTTACTGACTTTTTTTACAGTGCTGAACCAGCCTCACTGAGAGCTGCAGGCTAGAAAAGCTAACTCACTTATAAAATTTCTGTTTCATCACGCTATACAGACAACATCACATCAGGAAAAATAAGTGCTTCCATGTGATGAGCGATCATCTGAGACTAAATACTTTAATCAAATTGAGCAGTGAGGAGAAAATATTCAGACCTGATTAGTAAATTATTTAGAGACGATCAGGAGTGAGCCGTTGTCAGACGAGTAAATGCAGTTTGAACATTTCTGCAAAGTAAAACGTGGTTTTTCTACCAAATTTGCATTTATTTGACTGCCAAACATCCATTTCAGACAAAAAACAAACAGTGTTGCTCTGAGCTAAGGCCAGTGCATCATTTGGCTGAATAAAAATGTTTTTTTCTAGAACAGCACAACTGAACAAACCTGTTACATTATAGCCAGATGATGTAGTTACGATAAACTCACATTTTTCTCACTCCTATTCTTTCATCACAAGCCTCTCAACACTGAGACAGAGTTTTCTCCCTTTCAGTAATAATGTATGTTTTTTTTAATCTGTGAGAGTGATAGTGTTACCCTGTTTTGTGATAGAATGTAGGCAAAACATCATTTTTTGTAAGCCTGCTCCCCTGTTCTGTAGAGCGCCAAGCAATTTGAATTGGTCAGCATTAGCCAATAGCGTTAAACATCTACTTAAGCACAGATGTCAATCACAGAGCTCGTTTGCTGAAGACGGATATAGAGCTGGCAACCTTTCTTATGGACAAATAAAGTTAAAGTCATCATCACACATTGGTGAAATGACATCTCCACATCTGACCCATTTCCGTTGGGAGTGGTGAGCTGCAGCAGTGGCTGCGCTCGGGAACTATTTGGTGGTTTAACCCCCCCATCTAACCCCTTAAAGCTGAGTGTTGAACAATAATCCTTCCAACAAATCTTTAAGTTAATATAAATGTAAATAAATGTGAGAATAATCGTACAACAATGTGTTTCAGCTCTTTTACGCCCAGAACACACCAGCTGTGAAGCGCCGCGAAGTGGATCACTCATGAAATTCGTGCGCTGTCCACTCCTCGTCTGTTCACATCAGGACAGAATTTTCAACGTGCGCTTCTGCACACGCCTACCATTTCCCAAACCCCCCCACCCCGCCCTTTGTGTGTGTGTGTGTGTGTGTGTGTGTGTGTGTGTGTGTGTGTGTGTGTGTGTGTGTGTGTGTGTAACCAGTTTGCCCCGCGTGTTGATAACGGAAACTGCGCTGATCTTGCTGCTGTGTATTTCTTTGTATTCACATTTATTAAATCCATCCTTTGCTGTAAAAACTGCATTTAAAATTTTGGAAAAGCTATGTTTCTCTGCTATGTGTGTGTGTTTGTTCATTTTCATCTCTCTAGTCTGTTTAGATACACAAAAATTATCACATTTATCAATCGCAGTGTTTTATTTTTTTGAAAATGTTCTTTTATTTTGTTAAATTTACCGCTTCTGCTTTGGTTTGACTTCCTGCCAGAATTGACCCGTAGGGCTGTAGCGAAGCCTCGACGAAGTCGACGGCTCGATTCTAAAAATTTGTCGACGTCAGATCCGGAAGTCGACGCACCGCGCCCACTTGTTGCATCCCCAGGAGTTTGTAAATAGAGGAGGAATCTGCCCGTTTTTCCTCTAGTTCGCCCTCTTCTCCGCCTTCACTAAAATCTCCGCCAAATACCGAAGACCCGGAACAACGTCCGTCCACTACTAGATTATTTTCCTGTTTTGCCCCTTCGTCTCCCGGCAACGGACAACAACTTCCGGGGTCAGATGCGCTGCTTCGTGTCTATCGCAGATGTAGAAAATCACCGGGAGCGCTTCTCCCTTCATTAAGGAGCTTCTTTCAGACATGAGGAGAGCTGTTTTGGTGGTAGCAGTCTCTCCTCCGTGCTGGTCTGTTTGCTGCTGGGTGTTTTTGGTTTATTTAAACTTGGTAACTTGAACTTAACGTTGGTAAAGCTACTGTTAGCATCTTCGCTAACAGCTTCTTGCGTTGGGATAAGCTGTTACGTTTTGGTTTAGAGTTCATCTTTTTTGTGGTGTAGATCTCCCTTTTATTACATTTAGAGTGTTGTGGGTTTTCGGTTTAGTGTAAAATATCACCTGAGTTTGGTTTAACCCGTAAGACCACTCGCCTCACGCACATAAGTGACCAAAACAAAGCAGCATGGAGACACTCCATCTTCTACCACCTCTCAGGCAGCAGCCTGCACTCCCAAGTTCTACACGTCACCAGAACATAACCAACCGCAACACAATAAAAGCAGTGTTATACAAAATGGAAGGCCTGTAGTGTTTATTCTCTTACAGTAAGAATTTATCAATTTTTTTAAGGAATTTATTTGAGATTTTCTGGTTTTTGTTAATTGTGCAATAGAAAAATAATCATTAGATTAATTTTCTAAATAGTCATTAGAATAGTCGACTATTCGATAAAATAATCGTCAGAATAATCGTTTTAAAAATAATCGTTTACCCCCAGCCCTATTGACCCGGCTCACGAAAAAATAGAGCTCACACTGAAACGATCGCTGCACGGTGCGAGCCTTCGTGGCGCTTCGCAGCTGATGTGACCGAGAGCATAGGTTAACTAGGGCGCCGATTAAACGCGCTCGTTGTTCCACGGCGCTTCATTGCGCTTCCGCGTCTGGTGTGTTCCGGGCGTAAGGCAGTTAGAGGTGTTGCTTCCAGCCGTAATCATAGAAGTAGGGGGAGCAGCTCAAAGGTGCAATACATTTTCCACCTCTAGATGGGGCCCTTGGAGGAAAAACTCTGGATTTCTGCTTTAAATGCCTTGTTCAGTGAGAAGTCATGTAATACGTGTTTGGTTTGAATACTCTCAGTCACTCTTAGTTGCATATGCATGCTGAACGTGAGATTTGTCTTCAACCCCCCTCCTCAGTATTAGCCAAAGAAAGGGAATAGACACGATGTCATGATGTGAGGTGTGGTTAGGACCCAAACGCAGGTGAGTGATTCTCCACAAGGCAGCAGAGGAAGTCTATATTTTTTGAGCCAGGTCATGACTGAGCAGGATAAAAATGCTGGCAAAGGCAGACATAAAGACTAAGCAGACAAAACAGACCTACAGGAAGACAACAAGAGGAATCGGGTGTGCAAGGTAATGAGGGGCAGGTGAGCTCAATTAATGTAACAAGAGGGGACAGACACAGAACAGGAGCAGGAGCTCAGAAGCACATCTGGACACAGAGGAACAGCGGGGTGAGAAAATGTCAGTCTCTTCTATGTCACAGAGTGAATTTTCATTCATCTCCAGCTTGACTTGCGACCATCCATGAGAAGGCTGGAGTTGAAGCTGTATTTTTATCCTGTTTTATTTTGTAGTTTTAGCTATATCTTTAGCTTTTATTTGTTTTCATGTGTATCTTTGTTGGCCCTTGCAGGGGTCATTGATGTTTTAATTTATTTTTTAAGCGTGTACAACACTTTGGCTCATCTCCTGGTCGATGCTTTAGAAATAAAGTTGAGGATGGCTGCATTGACTTAGCAGCCAGGAAAGAGCAGAAACATTTTTCAAGTGCGTAATATATTTATAATCTATATGAAATCATTTTAATTTTATGTTTGGCAACTGGGGTCGGTCATATAACATTGTTCACAATAAGAGAATTATTTCTTGCCCGAGAGAACCAAATTAGCTAAATTTGTGACATAACTGCATCCCCTAAAAAGCAGAAGCGGTAAATGACGCTCACATGGTAATGCAGAGTGGAGTTATTAAGGTTGTGAAGGCAAACATGGCTGCAGTCTCACTGCATTCACTAATATCAGTGAGAAGAGAACGATTCATGCTAGCTTCTGGGGTATTTTGGCTGCCTTGTCTCTCCACACAAACAGAAAAAAAGAAAAAAAAATGTCAAGGCGAAAAGGCTCAAGGAGACACCCAACGTCATCAAATATTAAAATCCACAAAACTGAATGCAAAGTTTAGTACATAAAATTATTCCAGAGATTGTTGTGAATCTAGAGAAAAACCTCCCTGTAAATTTTGTCAGCAAATAACAGACCAGACATATGAGCATACATGTGATGACCCGTCTACTGACTTTACTAGTTTAGATAGGATCATCATGTGTTTTGTTAGAAATGATATAGATAACTTATTAATTCCAGATATTTCCCAGTCCTAACATCGATAAAGGACAACAAAATTCTCTATCGTGTTAATAACACTCAAGCAAAAGGAAGTGAAGCTAATCAGTAAAAAATCATTCTAATCATATCTACATCTGAAACCCAGTCCTGAGTTTACACAATGAAAAAGTGACAAAAGCCGGACGAGCATGACTAAACAGGACATTGAACCATCACTGGTCAGCAAATAATTCCCAAAATATCCTTACAGCATGTGAAAAGAGTAAATACAACAAAAAAAAGGTGTTTAGCAGTGCGTGTCGAAATGTTAGAAATACAAGCCTCTTCATCAAGCTCCAATCAAAACTACTTCCTGTTATGGTCACAGTGTTCAGTAAATATCTGACTCGTGATCTTTTTACACACACTGTTCAGAACAGAGTGCTAATTAACTCAGAGACAAGAATCAGCAGCTTCATAAATAATACGATGGCTGCTTCCTGAGATCATTACTGATGCACACATTTAATGTGGCTCACTGTTAAGACTGAGATATGCTGTAATTTTTCCTCATTTTATTAGATCAGATTAAACAAGCACATCTGCAACAAGCTCACTGCTAAACTGACTTCACAAGGTTATGTAGTCATATTTTAAAAGAATATTTTACTAGTCTATTTAATATTATTACAGCGGCTGTTCAACTGAACCAAAGTCTAGGAGAGAAATAAGAGTGTTTAGGAATTAAACAAGGTCTGATTTCATCTGACTTGTACAAAACGTTGCTTGATTTGAGGCATTTACTTTATAAGCGAGAACAGAGGAAACAACAATAAATAAGGGGACAACAGCTTCCCTTGACTGGAAGACCTCTCCTCTCTTAGAATCGGTAGACATGTTTGTTAGCGGAGAAAGGAAAGTGACGACAGAGCAGCTTCTGCTGTTTATCTCAGATAAACCACCCAGCCCGTCTGTGTTGTGTCTCTGACAGCAGCCGAGCTAACAGCTGACAACATGGTACAACACGGTATGGAGTTATTACCTTTAACTGAGCTGGGCTGTCTGAGGTTTAAATATTTAAGTATGAACACAACAAAACAAAAATTATACCCGAATTGAGATGAACAATAGTTTAAATATAAGGTTAAAAAAGGAATCAATAATCTCAGTAAAATGTTTAATTTGCCATGAAAAGGGTTGGACATGGGCTGGGAGGATAATCAATAAATCCACGAATCGCACAATAAATGAAAATGAATTCTAATTTTTCAAGCCTTCATATATTAAGGTTAAGAAATGCACAATTCTATTATTATTATTATTATTATTATTGAAGTGCAGTGTTGGTTGTTGGCACTGGATAGGCCATTGTATTTATTGTTTTGGAGAGACGGGGTCTATTTTACAGTTTTTGGTGCAATGTTTTCCAACAGAGAGGGAAAGTCCTTTTGTATTGATACATTTTTAGGTTTTTTAATTTAATTTATTTATTTAGAAGTTCTGGTTCTGGGCATTACACAAGTGGTTATTTTGGGATGGACAATATATCGGCATCAATAATGGTATCGGCCGATGTTAGTCATTTTTTAACGTATCGGTACGATAAATAAAACCGAGCCGATATTTACAACCGATATTTTTTTCATCTCGTCTCCATTTGTTTTTCAGTTTCAGAGGGTGAGGGGGGTGATGTGCAATTGTTTAGTCATGTGAACAGTGAATGAAATCATCTCAGAACCGTAAATGTGTGTGGTGTGTGTACATAATAATGTACATTCAATTTTAATAATTACATTCTATACAAAATCTGCTGATTTTAGAAGCATTAATGTCAGTATATCAGTATAGACAAATATCGGTTATCGGCCATAACAGTGATCGGATATTGGTATCTGCCCAAAAATTTCATATTGGTGCATCGCTAGTTTATCGTCAATTATTTGCTGGACAATATATCGTCCAGCAAAATTTGTTATCGTCCCAGGCCTAGTTGGACAAATAAATAACAGCTAGCAAACTCCTACTTCTCTGGAAAATAGTCTCTAAAAAACAAATTAAACCTTCTTTTGATGCTAAAAATTGATAAATTAATTATAAGGAATCTGGTGATTTATGTTCTGAATTTTAAACCCCTTGATTTTACTTTTATTGATGATCACAGTTTAAAGACTTAAGGTAAAGGGACATTTTAAAATTCCTGAAATATATATTAACTTGATTTTACAATGGGGTAAAAAGAGGCCTGTAATTTTCATCATGGGTACGCAGACGTGGGCAAAATTGTTAGTACCCTTCGGGCGATGAAAGAAAAGCCCACAATGGTCACAGAAATAACTTGAATCTAACAAAAGTAATAATAAATAAAAATTCAATGAAATGTAACCAGTGA